AAAACTGTTCAAAACCTGCTCTCGATAACAAGAAAAATAAAGTAACAATCAAATGGTTTTGCATGCCAAACAAATTGAACAATCAAAGAGTACTAAGAAAACCAATAATTCTGAACACTTACGGTGTGCCCATTGTTTTCCAGGACGCCGAAGCCTAGCCCAGCAGTAGGCTTGACCTGCGACATTTCTGCTCCTGCTAAAAGCAATTTCGTGAGGGCAAAGTTAAAAATAGTGGATTCAACTATTTTTCAAAACAGTGGCCAGATTCGATTTAAGTTTCTTTCGAATGGACGTTTGGCTTAAAGACAAGAGAAAATGAGGGCTACTCGGTAAATTTTCAAGGAGGGAGCTGGGCTTAATTACCTAATGGACGGGGGCTGCTGGACAGGACATTATTAATAATATTGGCTAATAATGAGAAGAATAGGAATATGTGGCTAAAGGCGAAAAGTTGCTGAGGGCGCCTGGATCGCGCCTAAAAGCGCGCCAAGGACCTGCCGCGCAACGGCTGAGACAAAAGACGGCTGGAGGGGCTAAATTCTTCATAGCGGCTAGGCTAGCCTCGCTCGGGACCCCGGTTGGGACCCGGCCGCAAGGGTATGGCATGAGATCAAATATAGCTCACTGCTACCCCTCTGTCCCCTCCCCTCCCCCCGCCTACGTCCTTCCCCACGTGCGAAACGTCAACACCTTCTGCTCGCTGTGTTTTGTGTCGTTCTATCATCTCGTGCATTGAATATCGTTTTCTGAACACTGACATCATGGGGAAAATAAACGTGACCATGTTACGCTACCTAAGCAAAGAAGATTTCCGTGTTTTGACTGCTGTAAGCATTGTTTTCTTTTTTCAGTACTAGAGGTTATGTATTTTAGTCGTATTTCCTCTGTAATTTATTTCATTCTGAGCTAAAAGTCAGGCCTCCTTGGATTGAAACGCGTTACAAACGCCCTATCATGATTTTATATTCTCAGATAATGTTGCAATTTATTCACTCTGATGCATCTTAATTATTAGTGCTCCTATGATTCTGTTTGGTTGATCCAAATGTAACTTCACATTTTCTTCTGGACTTAGGTTGAGATGGGGATGAAGAACCATGAACTGGTGCCAGGATCTCTTGTAGGCTCCATTGCAAGTCTTCGGCATGGTGGTGCTCACAAAATTCTGAGGGAACTCTGTAAACATCGTTTGCTTACTTATGAACGTGGAAGACATTGTATGTATGATGCTATCTGTGTATATACTTTTTACACATATCTAATACTACCACCATGCTTTATGGCAATTATTGTTCTGTTTTTCAGATGATGGCTATCGTCTTACTAACTTGGGATATGACTACCTTGCCTTGAAAGCCTTGACTAGTCGAGGTGTTGTTAGTTCATTCGGGAACCAAATCGGTGTTGGCAAAGAATCTAATATTTATGTTGTAGGAAATGAGGACGGTGAACCTCTTTGCCTGAAACTCCATCGGTAATTTGAGACTTGGTTTGTTGTTATTTTGAAAAATATGAATCCTTAGCTTACTGATGAACTGGACCATCACCGTTATTACAGACTGGGACGTACTTGTTTCCGACGTCTTCGAGAGAAGAGAGATTATCATGCACATCGGAATGCTGCATCCTGGATTTACCTGTCTCGTATCTCAGCCACCAAAGAATTTGCTTACATGAAAGCCCTTTATGATCGTGGATTCCCTGTGCCTACCCCAATTGATTTTAACCGACATTGTGTCATTATGAAACTTGTTGATGGAAGCCCCCTGTAAGACATTTAAATTAATGATGAATTATTACAGGGCTTTGCACTTAATTTGACTTATAAAAATATTTATTTAGTTGCCAGATTAATGAAGTGGACGATGTTGAGTGGCTATATGATGAACTTATGAACCTTATTGTCAAACTTGGTAGTTACGGAGTTATTCATGGAGATTTCAATGAGTTCAATTTAATGCTGACTGATGATGGAAAGCCTGTTGTAATTGATTTTCCTCAGATGGTTTCAACCAACCATGCTAATGCTGAAATGTGAGTGTGGTACTTATGGTTTTAAATGTTCTATAAAGCACTGTAGCTACAAATGGTCATGGTTTTGAAATGCTTCTGTTGTCTTAGGTTTTTTATGCGTGATGTCAACTGCATCCGTGATTTTTTTAGGAGAAGATTTGGCTATGAGAGTGAATTTCACCCAACATTTAAGGATATTACGTAAGTATACTTTCAGCAATAACGGCAGGCGTACTTATTGTCTTTTGTACTATGGCTTGCTTATTCACTGCAATGGAATGCCTTTTTGTTTTGTCTTTGACTTTTCATTCTCTATGCTGCACTTACAGGCGTGAATCAGCTCTAGATGTTGAAGTTTCTGCCAGTGGATTCACTAAACAAATGGAAAAAGATCTTCTAGTTGGGATAGGAGTTCAGAGTGAAGAGGAAAGTGATGGAGAAGAAGCTGATATCGATTCAGAGGAACCAGTGTCAGAAAGCATTGAAATAGAGGAATTGAGGAAGCACGTCAATCAAATAATTATAGAAGATGAAGATAAAACCAGGAAAGGAACTTCACAAGCTGTGAGCAGTTCCAGTACTGCTCCACCCAACACAGAGAGCGAAATGGGAAACACATCAAGCGAGTTGCTCTCTGATGAAGTACCACCAGAGCTACCGAAAAGTCCGGAGGATGCAGATCCAAACCATAGGTCATTGCACACGAGGCTTGTGTCAGAGTGTGACAGTGATGTCTTTAGTATTCGTAGTGCCAGAACTAACGGCCTGTCTACTGCCTCAACCATAGCTCCCGACGTAATTAAAAAGAGGGTTCAAGTAGCTCTAGATAAAAGAGAAAGGCAGGCTGAGAGGAAGAGAGTACTGGCCAAAGGCGAAGCAAGTGCAGTTACTAGGTCACGCCGTGACAATGCCAAAACAATTCAGGAGTGTCATGGAGTGTGGGGATGGGATTAATCAGACTTTTCAGGGATATGCATTATTTTACTTGAGTTCTGGTGATAGAATATACAGAATCTACTATAATACAGCAAACTTTTTCTTATCCTTGCTCTTTACATGTCTTTGTGTTGCTCTCGATGGGGTTCAGAGTAGTTTTTGTGTGGTGTCTCTAGGTTCACTTGTGTCAAAGGTTTAAAAACCAACACAAAATCTTAATAGGAATATAATTTATTCTACTTTGAGTTAAAGGCTTAAGTAGTAGCACAATTAGTGGTCATGTCAATAATGGTAAACTAACAACACAGACAGAAACCATTGCACATTGCAATTATAGTCAACCACTGAGTTCAAAACTATGTAAAAAATATAACTTTACTTAATTTACAAATCAATAAAGATGCTACGATGTGCACAAAAAAGGATAGTCCTAAAAGGCACTATAATTGGTATACTACTCTTGAAAACATGTCATTATAACTTGGTAACAGGAACATACTATCATCATGCATCTTAAGAAATGCGTGTAACACTTAGGGAACGCTATTTATTTAATTATAAATGGGAAAAAGAAGCAGTTTTAGTTGTGATTCACCTTAAATTGGCACAGCATGAATAAGTGTAACTTGGATATTACAAACTCTTGGACTTCTGTCTGGGGCATAAAAACATTTGCTAGTCTCAATAATCATCCGGCAGTCTTTCATTCATAAAAGTTGTTAGTACATAGAAACAGAAGAACTGGACCAGCTAAAAGGGGAATGGAGAGAGGAAGGAAGGAATACCATACTATCACTTAGACCAGGAGGGCATTGTTACAAATAAAATTTAAAAAAAAAACAACAAAAAAACACATAGCAATGTTGATTATGTAACTTTTTAAGATAAACAAAAGATATGTGGATGGAAATAAAATTTCATTCAAGATGGTTCGATTATGAAAGTGTATCATTAAATAAAATAAGACACAAGAATCTCACAATAAGCGGTGACACAAAGCATAATAAAAATGATAAAAAGAAAGTCCAAGGACAAGAGGAAAGCAAACACTCTCGTTCCAAGCTGTGACTTTTGACAGATAAGACAAATCAAGGAAATTAATGATTGTGTAGATTACAACAAAATGATTGGTCACTTCTGCGACTTACCAAAAAGTTGATGGGAAATGAAACAAACATGACAAAACACAGTTTAAACAATCAATCATAGCATCATAGCTACAGCAAGCATCAGTTATAAAGATCTTAAAAGTTACTAATACTGTTAACTAAAACAATTTAGAAGACAAGCTAAAAGTTGATTAATTAAAAATGATTATTATACCAAAAAAAATATTAAAAAGATATTTAAAAGCAACAAAAACTATCACTTGAGAAAGCAACAAGCTCTTAGATTGATTCTCAGCATAATTAGCTCAAAAGTAAGCAATGTTAGTAGGCTGTTCTAACAGTTATAAGTTTCAAAGCTAAATAGAATAATAAGCTGGGTGAGCAAAATATCATAAGCCAAAGCATTTCGTTTCAGACACAAGTAGTTAAAGGGTTGGTCATGAACTGTAAAATGTTAGCGGTGTTTTAAGGTTTATCCTGCAAAAGAAAAAAGAGAAGATTACTTTTGGCTATTTTCTGAAGAATATGTAACTGTAAAGCACTAGACTTGACTCACCATAATCTCCCACCCTTCAACATCTCCAGCAAGTTGATAATGTTGCCGCCGCAAAGCAGCCAGGTGCTGTCGTTCTTGTTGGAGGGAAGCTTCCAGTTCCAAAACTTTCACTTGACAATCCATTTCAAGGCGTTTAGCTTGATGAAGTGTAAGCCCAGAAACGTCCAGCTCCTCTGCAAATAGATAATTATGCAGGTAGAGAAATTCAAATTATAGACTTCTTATTTAAAATTATGTTTTAGCAACAGTGACAAAAATTACTGTAAAAATTACAAACCATTCTCTTCAATAAGTTGAGCACAGTCTTTGGCAGTAGCAACAACCTGCCCAGTTGCTTGAGTAACACCTCTTGATGCTTGAGACAAAGCCGTAAGATTCAAACTATCACGAGATGCCTTCACTCTGCTCGCAACAACAAGCTGAGCAGTGCTTGCAGCTACCTCTTGTGATGCAACAATTAGAGATTCTAGCTTGCCCTCACCACTGACAACCTTGTCAGCTGCAGTGCTACAATGGAACAGAAAATAAAAATTGAGATTAAAAATAGATGTTTACATTTAATTTAAGAACTAAAGCAGTTTAAGAACAAGAAAAAGATGATAAGTTAGCTTACAGCAAAAACTTAGCTCCCATTGCAACAGCCTTAGCTGCAGAAATCAGTCCCTCCGTCCACTGATGATTTCTTTTGTAGAACTCCTTGGCAGTAGCAGTTCCCTGGAATAGGATTTATAGAACTGTTAGTTGAATACATTACACAAACCTCATCCAAGCCTTAACACCAAAAATAGTTTACCTTTCCTTTGGCGACAATCTCAGCCTGAAGAAGTCGAGCTTTCTGAACCAGAATTCTGATGGCTAACATAAGAGAGGTGCAGGTATCCAGAATCTTCTCATTCACTTCCAGCTTAATGCCAGAGTCTCTTGCCCGAGATTTACTCAAAATTTCCTGCAAAGACGGTGCTATTAATTATTATTCTTCTTTCAATATGCACAAACAATGGATGGTACTTACAGCAATCCTTTTGGCTGCTTCTTCGATTGCTTTATCCATGTTCGATAATTCATTCTCAACCATATCACCAATTATTTCGACAGAGTCTCCCTTAATCTGTCCAGTTAGTCTTTCCAGTAAGTTTGCCAACTCGTCCATTCGATCCACAGTAGTATTTGCCAGTTCTTTTACAGTACTGCTGTCAGCTTCTTCTCTGACACCTCTCAGCAATGCTAAAACTGAGCTCCCAAGGACTTTACATTTCTCTGCCATATCTACAAAGAAAAGAAAGTGTTAGTGGTAAAACCCTGCCTAATAATAACCAGAAGATGAGAAAACAAATACTTACGTTCCCCTAGTTCAATATCAGGAGACGTGTTGGACGTTGCTTTTGCATGAAGAACATAATCAGCTGATAAATGGGCCACACGTATTATGTGGCACACAAGTTTCTCAAAGACGGACGAGTAAGAACTGCTAGCTTTGGCTGAATCAGGAACTAGGGCTGGCAACTCGACAACAGAGTCCCGAAGAGGTACCGCCAATGTTCCTAGATAATCTGGAAGGGGAAAATATGGAAATACACAGTAAATGGAAGAAATACAAATAGAAAGTGAACAGACCACAAAACTAACCTGGAGTGCAAGTGACAGCCGATATGGCAGGGTTATCCACTTCATGTATTGATCTTTCAACAATGGCTTCAGCCTCTCTCACACAGGCCACTAAAAAGGAAAGAAAGAAATGAAATATGAGTTGAGTTAGAGAAAGGCAACAAATTTTCAAAATCTTCAACAATGATAAAGTAGGTATCAAGTTACCAAGCAAGCGTTTCAGAGCTTCTTGCTGATCTTGATTCTTTAGTTCCATTTCCAACAAATCACTTTTAGCTTTTTCTGAAACCAAATTAAATTTTTAAGTTAATCAAGTTCTTTATACCCGAACTAAAGTTGAATGGAAAATCTTCAATAACTCACCTAGCAAGCTTTGCAATGCTTGTTGCTGATCTTGACTCTTCAGTTCTCTTTCCATCATGTCTCTCTTAGATCTCTCTATTTCTTTGGTTAAGGTCTGCAGACAAAATAAATCAATCATTAGATTATTATTTGTAAGATTGTTATCACTACACAAACATCTCTTGAAAAAAATGAATGAATGCTCACCAAAACTTTGTCATGATCAGCTACCATTTCGGAAAGCTGAGCCTCTGCTTCTTCTTTCCGCTTTTCTGCATCTTCACTTGCCTTTTGAATTCCAATAAGCTGTTTGTCCACATCTGCTTTCTGTAATAAAAAATGGGAACAAAATACGTGAAACACTTTTCATAAAATAGTGAACCAGTATCAAGCTTGTGCAAAAGACCATACAACAGCATTTCAATTGAATTCTTTGGGGGCAAGCAGGGGAGTTTCTAGCCTTGTTCCAGTGACAATGTGGAAGTGTTCCAGCCTATTTTGTGCCGAGGGATTGTTACAAGAGACAAATACTAAATGCTGTACAGGCATAGTCCATGTGTTGTGTGCTAGTGCTTGTGCTCCATCCACCACCAGATAGATGCCATCTTTGCTTGAAAATTCTTGGTTTAATTTGATATTGCCCTATTGTTATAAAAAAATAAATAAATAGGTAATGAAAATCAATTTTAGTTTGTTAAATTGGACGCAAAATGAGGGAGAAGTTCAGAGAAATTTCAAACAAGATGGTTAACAAGATAGAATTGGGATGTAAATGGTGGTAGAAATCTTACTATTGACACTATCAGACTATTAGCAGCCTGAGCAAACAGTGTCATCTTGTCACACACTTTCAAATCTTTCTCCAAACCTGCTTTCTGGAAAGGGATAGATAAGATATAAATGTGAAAACAGGAAAGACAAGGTTTTTTTTCAGCACCACTTCTTGATGTAAAGTGTGATGGAAGAAACAATGCTGCTCTGTGATAAGGAAGGAAAACGGACTAAGATAAAAAAAACTAACCTGACGAAGAAGATTTATGTGCTCTTCTCTTAATTTACTGTACACTTCTTTCAACTTTAAAAACTTTTCTTCGAAGGCCTTTGCTCTTTCTAAAAATCCAACAGAAGACAATGCAAATCATGCCATTAGTTTTTTATGGTAATATGGCTGGTTTATTATGGTTCTAAAACAACAACAAACAAAAAAGAAAGGCTTACTTTCTGCATCGTCATTTTTTTCAGCTGCAGTCGTTTGATGCATGAGATCTGCAGTAGTCTGATGCATGAGATCCTCATGGAGCTTCTTTTCTTGCATAAGTTCTGAATCCTTGGTAGCTAGGGCATTTTCTAAATCCATTATGCGAACTTGGAGTTGATCAACAAATTTATGATGATCTTGACGCAATTTGTTGTTTTCTTGATGTAACCTTTCAATACGTTGGCTCCATTCATCAGGGGGGGCCATGGGCACAGGCTGAGGAACACTCAGATCTACTAGATCACCTGACAGCGATCCAGACGGTGATCCTGCGTCTGATACATCCACAAACTCAGAGGCATCTGCTTCAGACTGTTCAAGGTCTGTTGGTAGCCGCACCACTGGTGTGACATAGCCAAGGAATTCAGACTGAATCAAAAAGTTTGGAGGATTCTGATGAGAGAACAGAAAGGTATTAATGTCAACAGGCACTCTTGCAGTAAAACCAATTTCTGGAAATATTCATAAAGAATTCTTTACCTCTGGCAAAGGGGGAATGTGAATTAAGTTACGGAAATATTGCAAAGTATTGGCACTTAAGTAGAACTGTTTGAGATCTTTAAATTGCTTTAAAAAGCGATCTCGATGTCCTTGTAATGTGTCAGCAGGAAGTTCTGAATGAAGCTTGAAGAGAATTTTAACACAGTAGTCGTACAATTGAGAGGAATCTTGAATACAAGGAATCAGTGGGGCCAAGCGGCACTGGCCACAACTTGTCATTGAATTGGATCTTGACATGTCTAAGGATCCAAAAACTGAAAGAGATAAATGTGGTACATCAGCAAAACATTATACTCTGTTCTAAAATAAGAGATGATACACAGTAGATAAAATTAAAAAACCTGTGCACTTACTGGCACTTTGAAGAGCAAGTACTTCATCCATGTAGTCAAACATCTCCACTGCCATCTCAAAATAATTATTAACATTATTTTCACCAATTGCATCAAGTTCTTCTTTAGAAACTTCTAGATTGCCAGGAAAACGGGGGTTCCTTCTGTGAAAATCAAGCTTTACAATCAAAAGCTGGGTATATTGCTGAATCAACTTTCCATAGCTTTCTCGAAGATGACCCTAGTAAATCAAGAAGTTACCAATAACACTTAAAAGGGAGCAAAACAATTGATCCTTTTGCTCACTAATAACAAATTCGACCTTACCCATAGCTTCCCAATATTTCGTATTCTCTCCTTATGTTTCTGAGACAAAGGAACGACTGATTCATGGCCCTCCCGTAGGATTTTATGAAGGACATGACAAAATTTCCAAGCCACAATTCTGTTTCCTTCCAACGGTAGGCGCTTTACACAATCCCAGAAGGTTTGTGCATTTTTTTCCTGAAATGTGCCAATTATAGCACCTAGTAATATTAAGGAATTGCATACCAAACATAACTTCAGAACTAATTTCCTCTTTTTCTGTCAATAAAAACTTTAATGGAGTAATAAACTTTGACATGAATCAGTGGAAACACAAGAACGGCATTCAAAAGATAATTTTACTAGGTCTACAGGCAGTGACACAAATAGTTTAGAAAAGGATACTGCGCACATGCTTCTCCTTCACGGGGCATTCTATGGAGTTTACTGCTTTGCTGATGCTGACTTGCTGCAATGACAAAAAAAGACAGCTCAATGAATTACTGGAACCCAAAAAAAGGATTAATCGACAATAATGACCATGGAAGAGGAACATGTTAACTGCTCGGGAAGGTCAATCAATCAAACTTCCAGCAACAAATAGTGATTGCTAGACTTTCAAGCTCTACAAACAAATTATATCATCTACACTTGTTTCTGTGCTAACTGAGCACTGATACAAAATGGCAATGGTGAGCATCGCAGGTCAAAACAATAAAACATTAGTGCAACACCAACAAAGAAACAAGTATAGGGTGTGAAGTGCTACAGATTCAAGAGTGAGCTTATACCTGGAACTGGTAAAACTCTGGCGAAAAAGGGGAAATCATTGCAAAACCTTGCTGGTGCCCAACAAGCAAGCTACGGCACCCTGTATGGAACAGGAAGGATAAATATCTCTATATGATAAGATAGGAATCATCACACTGCCCTGCCCACTCATTCTTATCTGACTTGGCCATAAATGAAAGATAACCAAAGAAGGCCACAGCTGACTGTTTCAAGGGTATCAGTTGAAGAATGAGCAGAATAAGCTATTTATTAAAGACGATCAACAGGCAAATGAATATGGTGCTTTGCTGAAGTTGTCGTTGGACCCATGCAAAAATAATGCACTTCCAAGAGAAAACGGAAACTTGTGCACGTAGACCCCACAACAGGAACGTGGTGAGGACGTTCATGGTAGGGACATAATCAGGTTTTAATGAGCGAATTTAGACAGATACTGACACTGTCATGACAGGAAGTGACCAATAAATTAAGGTGTGGGAGGTTAGTGTGGTTCCTGAAATGAGAGGTGGGCTGGGTTCCACAGTTCCACTGCCTGGCTGCTCAGGACACAAGTTGACACGTCAATATTTGCATAAAAATACCAGACCTATTCATTAATAAAATCCAAGTTGAGTAATGCGCACAAAAGTCCGTGACTCATTGACAGCTCGTTCGCGCCGGCCTTCCACTACTTTTAACATGGCTTATAGGGTCACAATAATAGGGATGATGGTTTCCAGACTATTTCGTTGCAATTCTGTTAACAACTAGAAGGAATTGAAACAAACCTGGAATTTCTCGAAGTTCTCCCTTTCCAGTTCTAGGCTGGACTTTCTTGGCTGAAGAACTCTAGGCAAAGATAAAGACGCCATAATGTCTTCAAACTTGAACTAAGTCTAAGTAAAGCGCCTGAACTTCATTGAGGTTCTTTTAGATTTGTTGTTTATAGCTTTGACTGCAATGCAAATGCAAGGGTTGCAGCTTTTCTCTGTTGCTTCGTTCCGATCCGGACAGTCGAACGGACGGGGACGGGTGTTGTTGTTGTTGGTTATGGCTGGCTGCTTGTTTCCCAACACTACTTTCTCTCTCTCTTTCTCTCTCTTGCTACGGCGCCTTGCTTGCGCCGTGCCGCCCTCTTGCGGTCACGACTAGAACTACTGCACCTTGTTGCTTGGCTTGGCTTGCACTCCCCCACGAGCCCACGGCACGGGTAGTCTCCTCAATTCTGAAACTTGATTTGTAGTTGGCGTGCTCATAGCTCGGGTCTGGCAATAGATAGCGAGACTCATGATCTGGTAGACAAACTTTAATAAACTCTAAATTTGTTGTATTGCTTACAGAAATTGGTTTTCACTCTGCCAAAACTTGTGGACCTTTGTGCAAGCATCTTGATAACTTTACCGATATTTATTTATTTACATCATGTACAAGTTACTATTCTACATCACGTTCTCACATTGCTACAAGACACAAGTATACTGCTGATAAAGGACCACATTAGACTGTAACAAGATCTGGAAAATATACCAATCCACTGGTCTTACACTATTAAAATAACGTACATACTTCCTACATCAGTCACTAAACGCCACTGAGGAAAGGGAACCCCATTCCAAAAAATGACAGAAGCTACCCTGTTAAAACATGAATGCTTTTTTGAATATTTCTGCATGCAGCTAAAATCAAACACAAAACGAGAACTGAAGGAAGGAGGAATGTAACATTTCGCGCCATTTTTTTAAAAATGGTTGATGAGAATTTTTGAAACAACTCATTATAAGGTAGCTATGGCGCAGAAGGATGGAGGGCTCACCATTATTTACCTGCAGCTGTAAGTCAAGTGCATACAGCCTGCCCTCCCCCTTCTGCCATCTCCTTCCTTGCAGGCTGCATTTGCTAATTTTCTTGTGTGAAAAGGAAATTGTCACAACTTTCATGCTTCTAGACTTCTATGATTGCAATATAAGGGTTAAAACTAACCACTCTGAATGTAAGGCAGAAATACAATTTTCACAAGAAGACATAATACACAAGAGAGATTGATATGTGACAGGAAGAAAACCAGTCAATGTTCTTAATGCTCACCCATGTAATGTATGATAATACCATACAAAATAAATTAACAGAAACAGCAAATAATCAGTCAAACAAAACATACAGATGCAGCCATATTATGAGCATCATGAATGGCCTTTACATTACCTATCATGTTTCATGGTATTAGTCATCATGACAAGAATAGCAGCAGAAATAAAAACGATCGTGGACAGCATCCTAGGTATCACAAACAGATCACATACTAACACATTAATTTATCTTAGCACAAAAGAAAAATATCAATTTTAAAATTTATCAAAATTGAAAAGGGAAAATTTTAACGGTACAATCTATTTTTTAAAATCATGCTTGAATGGCCGTGGGGACATTACAGTGGTCATGGAAACCCTTTGTGGATGGAAGGCTAGAAAAGGTAAATCAATCAAGCCTTCACCAGTACAAAATATTTCAGCTGCTAGGCAAAATTCGTGTTTTGATCCACAACAAAATTTCTTGACTGCATTATGGCTTAGCACTTTTACAATTTTTAAATTGAAAATTTTTTGATTTAGAGACATTTGTTTCTTAACAATAAAAAGGGCTTTTGAATACAGTTGTTGAACTTTTTTAAGATAAGTGATGGGAAGTAGAAAAATATCTTATTGTCTTTCAAATAAAATAGTGAAACATACATCAATGGAGTAAAAAATTTGACTTTAGTTAGCTACATGTTTTTAAAAAAAAGGCAGCTTTACATGTGTAAATTGTCTTTATCCTGCCCATCTAGTTGTAGATGAGGGTACAGACGATAATAAAAAACAAAAGGGTAAAAGGACACATCAACGACAAAAAACAAACAAACAAATGTAAAATAAAACGGCTATGAGTCTGTAGGTTAAAATTCAGGCAAAATCTGAACATGTCAATTAAACAATTCAAATAATTTCAATTGGAAAATACTGAAAACACTTGAGTGTGGGGTGTTATTGAAAGGTGACAAATCTCTGCACAGCTGACCATAAACTGGTCATGTTGCACTCGATTTGTGAAGTCCATGGAATGGTTCATAATTCAATACATTTAAAAAAAATACAAGATACAATATGGATAGGATCAATAAAAAAATGAAGAAATGTGCTTAACCATATGAACACACAAGAAAACAAAATAAAACAGTTTTGGTGCACGAGCAAGTGCAAGCTTGTCATTCAGTTACATAACTGGACGTGCACTTAGTATCTCTTTTGACCCCTCTGGCTAACATGGATGGACCCTAAAATAGGCAACTGCTTAAACATTTAAAATAAGGACATGGTGGGATATTCACTAGACTGAGACGACGGTAAAGAAGATGACTGCGATGGCAGTTGAGACATCCCTGAACCATAACCAACACCAGCTTGATGATAACTAGAAGAAACAAAATTATTGGTCAATATGGTACATAAGAATACTGATGAGCTAAAATATTAATAATACTTACCCTACTCTACTATCTAACATCATCGCTGCCATTGCTGCCGCTGATTGCATATGATGAGTGGGATTCGGGGTAGGAATGGAACCAGTTTGCGCTAGCAATGCATCCTTGGTCTCAGCTTGCATCGACTCCCCATTACTCGCAACACCAGCGAGAGATAGGCGGGTGTTTGCATGCATTTGCTGCTGCTGCTGGTGGTGATGATGGTGATAGTCCATGTTCATGTGTCCGTCATTACCACTGAGCCCAGCAAAACTTGTTGCATACTTGAGGTGTTGCTGAGCAGCTGACATGCTGTGAGCAAGAAGGATTTCAGCCATCTCTCCTGACCCAGCAGCAAGAGATCCACTGACACCCCCTGATGTCAAGTTCATCCCATGGTTTGACGACTGGGTAGAAGATGCATTATCAATGTTAAAGTCATCCCCAATATCCTGTGAAAGGAAAGGAAACCATAAACCTTGTTTGTAGTTTCATTGTTTATTTTTAAAAGCTGAGAGATCAATTTTAGACAAATAGAGAAACAGTAGGAACTTTACCTGATCTCCTTTCCTTGTATCTCCAACACGAGACATTCGAGCTTTGTATGGTACTCTAGCTGAAGCATTATCACCATGGTGACGGGTATAGTGCTCTTTCAATTTATCTCGCCTTGAACTTGCATAATCACACTGATCACATTTGAAAGGTTTGTCATCCAAGTGAATTCGTTCGTGCCGCACCTACATAGACCATGAGAAACAACATGTTAGACTTCAGCCAGAAATGGAGTAACAAAATTTTTTTCTTAGGACACATTACCAAATGACTCTTTTCAAGAAATCCTCGACCACATATGTGGCATGTGTGAGGACGAACCCCTTCATGAGTACGTGCATGGGAAAGGAGCTGTGACTTCTTAGGGGTTGAGTATTTGCAGTCAGGGAATGTGCATCGGTGGACATCTCCCGTGTGAATACGCTTGTGGGCCATCAAATGAGCGATGTATTTAGTAGCAAAACCACATGCATCACATAAGTAAGGCTGCTCTTTACTGTGAGACGTAAGATGTTGTTCCAATGTACTGCGCATGGCATATGCTCTGCCACACGTATCACCTGTAATTTGACATTGGCATTTAGATATATTCTGTGGAAGATAGTTCAAGAATACCACCTAGTCTAGCTCACAAAATCAAACTCACACTTATAGGGAAGTTCTCCTGTGTGACTCCTCATATGAACAAGGAGATATGGCCTTGACCTGCATTTATAGTCACACATAGTACAGTGATGTGGTTTGTCATCACATGTTTTAGATCTGTGAGCCACTAAATTCACCATTTTGTCACATTGATATTCGCCTGAAATATTTTTAATAATAATTGATCACCACTCCATTTGTAAGAGCATAAAGAGACTTGCTGATAGGCTATATAACACTCACAGTTGTCACATTTGAACGGCGGGCCAGGAAAATGTTTTTTAAGATGCTTGTAGTAATCTTTTATGTAACCACAAGTGAATTCACATTCACTACACTTATATATAACATCATGTGCACCCTGATGCACATCATTCACATGTGTATCTAATTCTGCCTCATCACTGGCTCGGAATTTACACTGCTTACATTTCAATTTTTTGACAGCCAACTGTTCATCTGAAAAGTAAGAAATGAACTTGATATGTGCCATGAGCAAGATGCATAAAAATTCAATGTTTTGTTTGAAAGATGGAAAAAATACTTGTGCATTCATTTATTAATATGACAAACCTCCATCAAGTGTGACTGCCATGTCATCGTCCATCATAGCCGCTGCAGCAGCTGCTGCTGCTTCACGTTGCTTCTTCCCAGTTCCTGGTGGACGACCACGACGTGCAGACCCAGGAGGATAGTTTCCTTTTACTGATGTTAAACGAAGAGAACTCCTACTAACTGTTATTTTTCTGTTTTTGCTCTTGGTGACGCCTCCACTCCGAGTGCGGGTCAATGCCTTAAGGCCTAAAATTTAAAGAAAATGTAAGAAACTGCCAGTCAAAGCTATAAAAAAAAATAATAGAGGACACACACCACTCTCTGAAAGACTTCCTTCTGAATCTCTTGAGGCTGATAGATCTTCAGCTGTTCCACTACCCTGAGCAAGACAAAAATCGGGTTTAGAAAAAAAAGGAACGTAAAATTAACAGCATAAAATTCAATAAGTGAAGCTCTACCTCCATATCATCATCATCCTCATCTTCTTCATCATCATCTTCCTCATCTTCATCTTCACCCCCTGTTCTGACAGAGCGTTCCATGTCAACTTTGATATCAATCATGGGCTCATCCTTCAAGAAACCCTCATCTCCCTCAAAACCCTGATCTTCAGTTTCTTCTTTCAGTCTCTTGTTACTGTCATCATCAGATGAGTCTTCAGAATACCTTCCAACATATGAAATATCAGGATCTCCACTGACATCACCTTCATCCTCCTCACCATCTTCCTCTAATTCTTTGTCATCATTTAAAGACTGCTTTGTTGGTTTCAATTTATTATTCTCTGTTAAAAAATGGTCAATTGCTTGAGCTTGCTTTGAACCTGGTGAGCCTGAAGGTGAGGGGACTTCCATTTTAACAGGTGAACTATCATCTGAATGGGTAGAAGCTGTCACCACTCCTGAGGAGGAACCCTGCAAACAAGTGGTGGGTTAAGGCAGTGACCGCAAGATTCACACACAAACTTAACTACATTAATGAAATCACTTACTTGATTAAATTTACCACTCAAAGACTCATAAACTATTTGGTATTTATTAAAGAGGAAGTTGTTAGAAAGAAGAGCTTGGAGAACAGCATAGAGAGCTATTTCGCTCTTTGGATAAAGGGGATCTCTGTCTACATGCTCAGTTATTGCTTGCTGATCCATTGATGTCCAATCAACAAATGTCAATAGCTTCCTTGTGTGCTGCTCACGGCCACGGACATCTTGCAGCACCCAGTTAGTCACAAATGGTAAAAGCGCACTCTGAGGTATGGTCCAAGCATCATCTGATAAAAAAGCTTCCACAAGAGAAATGGGCGATTCCAGAAGCTCAGTCTGCTTCATAACATCTTCAATGTTATTTTTTATGAAACTAGAGGAGCACTTTAAAAGAGATGGCATATTATATTTGTCTGCCATTTCTTTGACAGACACACAATTGGAAACTTCTAAGTATCTTTCGAGGTACTCTGAACAATAGTCTTTCAACTTCGGCACCAAAAAGTGATTGGACAATCTCACTAGTTCACATACATTTTCTTTGTCAATGACAACACTGCCAGTATACATGTAGTTGAGCAAACACTGAAACACCTCGGAGCTTTTGCAGGTTATGGTTAGGTGTTCCTTAACAATCCTTTGCATCTTCAGGATGGAGTTGAAGTAGGGTGAGCACGAAGCTAACACATTTCGGTGTGCTCTGAACTGTTTTCCTTCGACGTAAAGTGTCACATCACAAAATCTTCCACTGTCCTTCTGCATACGCAACTTCTCTAAGATAACATTGCCGTGTTGATTTTCGGTGAAGTTCATAGGATTGTTTGGGAGTGCGGTGTACTCCATATTATGTCCCTATCCTTGCCGCTTGGGCCGCTGCACCGGCACAAATGGGGCAGCACAACCAGGAGCGCAATTTTAACACCAACATAAATAAGTGCAACCATGTAGCCTGGAAAATTTATAGTCGCCCGTTCAAAATTGTTATTAATTGACAACTGAGAGTCGCGGCCATATTGATCCGTCTGAGATTACGCCTTTCAAAACAGCATTGTTTTGGTTATGTGGTAGGAACTGAGCGTCTTGTTTTTCTTCTTTCAAACATGCACCAACTAAGCAAAATTTATCAGAAAACAAGCCCCTGTCGCTACGTGTCAAAAGATGAAATTTCAAGAGATGGTGTTTATTGCCTTGTTGCGCTGTGAACCCTTGACGCCTGTTCCGGTTAACTGCGATCTGTCGCAAGCTGAGAAGAATGCGTGAGAAAGTTGGTAGTGCTTTATTCAACAGCAGACGACAAGACTTGGCCAACACAACAAATCGAAAGGGGACTCTCTCTCCATCCAATTAACTGGAACAGCTTTTCGTATTTGTGGCAAAATAGTTTTAAAGTGTTATTAATTTTAATTTGAAGTTGATTTTTTGAATGAATGCCACAATTGAACAATCTCAGAATGGACAATCTCAAGAGGGTAGTTGTTGCTATGGTGGTGGTACGGGGTCATCTCAATCTGAATCGCGAGGTCAGGGAGAAGGAGAAGGGGAGGGGAAGGGGGGAAGAGAGGAAACTTTCTGTGGCTGCTAAATTTACCAACAGAGAGGCCAGGCAATGACAAAGACAGAAACAACCGTGTTGATTTCTATGTTGCCTGCAAAATGATCTTCGCCTCTTTTGCTTTTCGCAGTGATAACGCGTCATGAGAAGAATTTCTAAAGCAAAGAATCTGCAGTTCATTTCTCGCATTTTCGGTGTTGTTAATTGCAATTACCGTTCAATGAATGTGAAACGTTTTTTGCGCCCCTGCGTTCAAGCCTGAGGGTCAAGGTGTAGTGATTGTGGGTTCGTCTTTTTTTGGTGGAGACCCGTCTACAATGCGTAGCGTTCAAGCAATTGAATACACCATGTATATTGAACTTTGATTGTCTCTGTCATCATGCAGGTAAGCTAACCTATATGGGCCACTGCTATTATTTCTACACATATGACCGTTTAGGTGGACTTTTGATTAGTTTAACTTTTCATTGACACCTTTCTAACTTAGGTGTGTCAAATAGCTTCCATGCAATTGATGTCTCCATCGGTGTCTCAGTAGTTAATCAAACTGTACCCAAACATAACCTATCATCTTCAAAGGCATATTAGTTCCTGTTGCATGTGTTTTCCTTGGTTTACGAGCTGGCTTGACAGTGTCTGCGCTCTGTAAATTCTCATTTAATTACTGTTGTGTTTTTTTCACCATTTGAACTCAAGTGATCAATACAGTTCAATTTATTTCATGTTAAATGATTTGTTTCAGCTGTGCCCGTAGCCCTGAAGTTTCCTTTCACGCCTCAAAATGGATGACAGGCGTATTGCAGACTACTTTGTTGTTGCTGGGCTTCCACCACAGCCACAACCTCTTGAAGATGTATCTCGTGATGGAACCATGCCTTGTGGAGTGGTTGGGCCTGCACCTATCACAGATCTGGCTGTCATATTTCCCACTTTAGGAGAGTCGCCACCACAAGGCTTTTCTCTTTTGGAGTTCACGCCTTCAGGTACACTTTTCAGATTGTGAATTCATCATGTCATATTTTGTTTAGATGTTGTGTGGATTGAGAGTTTAAATTATGATTACCTTGTATGATTTAGGCATACCAGCTAATCTAAATCATGGCAGTTATAGAACTCCTGAAGTTTATTTGTGCTACCGTAGAGGTAGGGACAAGCCTCCTCTGGTTGATATTGGGTGAGTATTTTATTGTCAAGCATTTTATTTTGTGATCATAAATACTTTCATCTTATCTTACTATTATTTTATTTTACAGTGTAATGTATGAAGGCAAGGAGAGAATTATGCAAGATGCTGAAGTCATCAAGAAAACACCATATGGTAAAGTGGCAAATGTCAACAATTCTACTGCCCAGATTTTTGTCACCTATCGACGAGCCTCGCCATCAATGCCTTGTAATGAATTAGTTGTCACAGATGTGTGTGTTATAATTGAAAGCAAGGGAGAATGCCCACCACCAGCATTTTGTGTTCTTAAGAAAAATCTGAACAAAGGAATGGTACTGTCACTGCTGTTGCTTTTAGGAATATCTAGTGTGTTGCACTAGCTTGAGGCATGAACTTCTCTTTACCATTTTTTTTTCTTCCAGGTTGGGTCTGTTGTGTACCTGTGCTACAAGAAGTCAATGAACAGAGCTAATTTAATCTCATACAAACCTGACATTTTATCTCGTTATCCAAGACACGATCATTCAAATTTTCCATTTCCTCTGTCTGTTCCACTGTTTTGCTTGCCAATGGGAGCCTCACTGGAATGTTGGCCTAAAAAGGCAATGCAACCAAGACCTGTATTCTCTACATTTGTCTTGACTGTTTCAGATGCGTCTGAAAAGGTACAGATCTGATTCAAATTATAAGCTCAGCATTTCCATTTCTTCAATTGTAATACTGTTTATCTCTCTGTAAGGTGTATGGCTCTGCAATCACATTTTATGAACCCTACCCTGAGGAACAGCTTACTGATGAACAGCTGGAACAACTGCAATTGCCTGAGGATGCTGAGCCGGAGGAATTCACTTACAATGTCAACAAATCCATCTGCCTTCTGTCACATTGGCCGTTTTTTGACACATTCGAGCATTTCCTTCTGTTTTTGTATAGCATGGCTTGTAGTGGGCCTCAACCTGTGCCCATTGAAAGGTACTTCAGTGCTTTATCACTAGTCCATTTTACTTGCAACTATTTCATGAGTTTACCTTTTGTAATATTATATTTGCAGATATATTTCTCACTTTTTGGAGGATGTGCCTTTCCCATCTCCACAACGGCCTCGCATTCTTGTGCAGTTGTCCCCAGCAGAGAGAGTTATCCTAACACAACCTGAGGATCTCCCCCTACCCAGGAGTGGCGCTAGATTCCGCAGCCTTCTGATAAATTTAGGCCCAGACAATTGTTTACTAGTCCTTCTCTGTGCTCTTACTGAGCAAAAGTTACTGGTTCATTCTTTAAGGCCCGATGTGTTGACTGCTGTGGCGGAGGCCATATCAATGATAATATTCCCCTTCAAATGGCAATGTCCATACATTCCTCTCTGTCCATTGGGTCTTGCCGAAGTTCTGCATGCTCCACTTCCCTTCTTAATTGGAGTTGATTCCCGTTTCTTTGATCTTCATGACCCCCCTGCAGATGTTATTTGCGTTGATCTGGATACAAATCTTATTACTTTGTAAGTGCTTCAAATGCTAATAACCTATATTCATTGCCACATTTACAATTGAATGGCTTAATGTTGTTACATTAATGTTGTACAGATGTGAAGAAAAGCGAAATTTGAACACCAAATTATTGCCGAAGAAACCTGCTCGTACCCTTCGCAACACATTAGACACATTGTATAACAAAGTAAACCAAAGTATGGCAAATTATGCTAATGCAGGTTTGCAAGACTCTTCGCATGATGAGAGTATTGATAGAGACTTCCAAATTAAAAGAAAAGAGGTACATTCTTAAAATCATGCAGTTTCACACCCTTGTTGACTAAATGTATTTTTCTTTGCTGATAATTTGATATTTTTAACAATCTTTAGCAAGTATTGGAGCTGGAGATCCAAGAAGCCTTCTTACGGTTTATGTCATCAATTTTACGGGGTTATCGTGTGTATCTGATGCCAATCACAAAAGCTCCCACAATTGGTACAACTGATCCTAATTCCCTCTTCAATTTGGGAGGTAAGCTATTCAGTAACTTAGTTTTCTACCAAAAAAAATTGCCTGCTCCTAGTTTATTAATCTGTTTCTTCTCTAGGTTTCCTTCGATCAAGGGACAAGTCATATCACAAATTTTTCACCTATGTCATGAAAACACAAATGTTTATTCGGTTCATTGAGGAACGCTCTTTTGTGTCCGATATGGATGCAGGCCTAGCTTTCTTCGACATCTGTTGTGAAAAGGTGTGCGCTGCTCTGACTCCTATTTAAACTGAGTTAACTTAATTTTTTCAAATGCTATAACTTGATACTATTTTTGTAGATGAATTCTGAAGATAGCGTTGCTCATTTGATTGAACTGGATGAAGCCTTGAATAATGAGAGAACTGTCTTCATCATGCCTCCTGAGCCTCCTCCTAACTCCACTGCAAGCCATTCCTATAATGGGGTACGGTATATGATAATCTTATCTTATAAAATATGTAATAATTTCATGTGTAGTTTTGTCATTGTTCTAACAACCCTTTGTCTGTCTATTACAGTGTTTTACCTTGAATCCAACATTATTTAGTTCTAAAGAAATGAACCATCTTCTTCGTATTGGAGGGGGTAGACTAAGTACTAGTTCTGGTGGTCTTGGAGTACCTGGCAGCCCAATGGCTCGCAGAACAAAGCATGAAGTAAAATCAGCTCAAAAGCTTGCTCGAAAATCTGCGTCCTCTCCAGAAAACTGGGCCAAATGTCTTGTGGGAACTTGCTATAGGTAATGAAATTATGGTTCTTAAAATTCTCGGATATTTATCTTAATAAGTCAAATAATTAGTATATTTAACTAATAATTTTTCTTATTGTTTTATTTTACAATCAGCTTGTGGTTCATACACTTGCCAAGCAATGTGATGATGAATCCTCGAAAAGCATCTACATGTTTACGAACAGCTTATGATCTTCTTAACATGATGCAGAGACTCAAGTTGCAACCCACTGATGAGGTGAAATTTTGTCATTAAATTTTTGCAAAATTTAAAACATTTTAAACAAAACTGTGATAGTGATTCTCAAATTTCTGTCACTAGGTCTGCTACCGTGTCATGATGCAACTTTGTGGTGTATACAGCACCCCTGTTCTGGCAGTGAAGCTTCTATTTCTTATGAAACGAAGCGGAGTTCAACCAAATGCAATCACTTATGGATTTTATAACCGAGCTGTTTTAGAAGCCACGTGGCCATCAGACATGAACAACTCCAGCCAACTACTGTGGAATAAGTTGAGGTATACCATTTAAACTTCAAAATCATATCCTTCATGACAACGTTGAGTCATTTCAGATGATGTAATGGTACCAGAACAGAGTTATACAATGAAACTTGGGTTTATTTATGTCATCCATATTTTTCCTATGGTATTTGTTATTGATGTGTTTTAGTTTGTGGTTTCTGCCTTCTCTTTCTTTTCAGTTTAATCCAGTAGTATGAAATGCACTTCCATCTGGCCATTGCCTATGTCTAATATTAGATCTATCCTGTATATTCTTGAAATTGTGTTTTGTTTTTCACACTAATTTTGCTAAGCTGGAGTTAAATTTCTAGGGTGTCAACCTTGGTGCAATGTTGGGTACTCAATATCAAGTAGTTTGTGGCATGCACTCCACATCTTTCTTCTCATAACTCTCCTTTTATTTTTCTAATAATTCCTGTTTGTAGATAGTACTAATCTATTAAGATGTCTTTAGGTTTTGTTATACATTAGTGTTTTTTTTTTTTTAAGTTTTGGGTTCTTGTTTCGCACTTGAAGTAGTCTTGGATGCGTGGAGGAAACATTATGGTAACAACTCTCAGGCACGTGATTTGCATTCATTCCTATGAGTTCTCATTATAAACCGGCAGGAAAGACCTGTGGTTGGCGGCTCATCGGATTGCAGTGCGGCAATGGGGAGGGGAAGTATCTCATCAGTGGGACACTACTGATACCGCCAAATGGAGGTTTGTGATGCTGGGTTGGAATCATTACTATTCAGTCGTGTTATTAATACCATCCACCTCTTTTGCAACAAAAGCATGTTCTATATGCTGCTGATGTCCGGGGTTTTGCAAACTGGAATTGGAGGAAAGAGCTTTTGGTGTTGAAGTCCATTAAAGCATCACATTGCTTGGCCTTTGATTGTGTAATAACTTAATGCTTAAAGGGTATGTGGATCAAATTAAGTGACTAACCTTGGCCACAGTTTGAGTTCCATTTTACTTCTCAATTTATGAAGCAATTCTTCATACTTCGGCTCTGCAGATATTAATAATTCATGACATTGTTCTCTCCATGCCAACGTTTGCTTCTCATTCATATAAGTGCACATTAAATTGTTTTTAATTTTAAGGTCTTGATCGGTTATGGTAGCTAAACTGATAATTTTAAGGGCTCTTCTTTCTTCTAACTCACTGGTTATGATATTAAGGAATGAACTATCAATTAACGTCCTGCTTTTATTTCTCTTCCAGTGTTTTTCTATCTTAATCATTAATTACAATGTGTCTTCAAATTTCGTCTTCTATTTTCACTATGCTTTCATTTTTGAATAGCTGTGGTGAATATTGGTCTATTCTTCTTGCAGCTGCTTGATCTTTTACAGCATCATCAATGTCAATGTGGTAGCTTAACTTAATATTATCCTTGTCCAGGCCTCTCACACTTGATGTCTCTGTTTTCTCTACTAAATATTTTAGCACTATATTTACTAAATGTGAAATTTCTCCTTCAGGAACGTCATCATGGGTGCTGCACTCTTTCGGCGTGCTGGCACCAAAGGGCAGGTGTCTCGGAGAGCTTCTGCATTTGTTGAGGAGGGGTCATCAGTTGGAGAAAATTTGGTTGATGGCTCATCTCACACCTCCTCTGTGGACAGCAGTGACCCTAAAAATAACGACCAATCAGGCAGTGATGATCACAAGGCAAAAAATGGTGAGAAATGTAAATGCTTTTGCTTTTCTTCTATGCACAGATTTTTCACTTAAATATGTAGTTATATTTTGAAGTTAGAAGTTGTTGTACAGCTGTGATTTGATGGCCACTCTATATAATGACAAAATAGCTTGAGGTTGTGTTGCAGCTTACAATATTTTTGCTTAAGTTAAGTGATTTTGTATAGTAGCATAACACCCTTATGATCGCTCTAGCAGAAAAAGAACTGAAAGAAAATGCAGCCAAACAATTCAACTGTGTTCTGTTGTACTTATCAATAGAATAAGCTTCACACATTACTAAAAAAAAAAAGTATTAATAATTCTATGCAAATGTTCAAATAATGACTCATGAGACTTTGTGACTTTATAGGCAGTCAATCAGACACTGGCTACAGCAGCCAAAGTGACAATGTGAGAGAAAATCCTGGTTTTGTCTCTTCAAGTGAAGCTCTGGTAGATGTTTTAATCACAGATGAAGTTGGTGCAGGCTGTGACCCAAGTGTGCAAAGACCCGAGTCCATTTTGGATTTGAGTAGCACTGGTATGTTAAAATAAGTGGTCAAACATGCTGCTTGCTTCATCTTGGTCCTTTGTATGTTCTGTTCATCATTGCAGTCATGCATTTTTTTATTTCGACTTCTCTCACTCGTCTTTATCATGTCACGGCAGCCCTTATTTGTTCATGTATTACAACATGCTTCAGCAGTCTTTTTCCTACCCCCTGTTTGCTCTAATACCCCAAATTGATCTGACATTATATGAGGATTTGCTTGTGCTACCTGCAAAAAACCAAATTAAGCATGATGCGTTCCATGATTTTATTGTGTGTGGTGGTAAATTGTGGCTCCTGCTTCTTTTTTTCTTAAGCCTCCTATATATTTATCATGTTTATCTCACTGTTGTTCTTTTAATGTCATTGTTTAGCACATCAAGATGGAGCAAAAGCAAGACTGGGATTGAGTAATAACACAGATTATGCTGCACTGGATCGCTTCAGGTCCAGAGTGGGTAGTATTGTGAGGCCTACTGGTGCGTCTCTACTAAGCAATTCCAACCTTCAGCAGCAGCCATGTGAGTACTTAAATGATGAACCATTACACGTAACTAGCCTGAACTCGATTGTAATTCATTGTCTCCAATTAAATTATCTATTGAGTGAATTTCTTCTGTTTTCAGTTGAAAGTAGTGCAGGACTGCTGATGACAAGTCAGTATGATGGCCGACCTGCACCTCTCTCTGAGGAGTGTGAAGGATTGGATGCTATTTCCGATGCCATTTCTCCCCTCCTGGAAAATGGCAAGGTTGGTTCCCCTGGAAACCCAAGGCGTTCAAGAGGCCGAAGTGGAAGCTGCTCCGACTTTTCATTTCCCCCGAGGTTGTCCCAACATGAGAAAAACACACCCTTTCACTCCAACTTGACTCCCCACAGTCCTAAGGCTTCTGTTGAACCTGGAAGTCCAATAGCTGCAAATCCAGCTGAACATTTTAAAATATTGATGAGGTGAGTGACTAAATTTTCATTCTAAATGATAATGATGTTTTGTCGTTATTGTTGTTTGCCACTTTTCTTTGTCTGTTTATCTTCAGATCGGAGAGTTTTGCCAATGATGCAGGCATTTTAGAGAAATTGAACAAACTTAAACTAGGCTTTTCACCGTCTCTGAGCGAAGGGTCAGGAGATGGCAAACCGGCGCAGCCGTCCATCAATGCCAGCAGCAATGGGCCTTCTGAGGTTACAAGCAATGTTCGAAATGTCTCCTTTCCACGAGCCTCTACTGTATCTAAGGCTTTGTTCGGCAGGAGGGGAAGTTTCAACTTCAGACGGACTCAGGTTAATCTCTTCCTTTGACATTGCTCTAGGGACTTTGTTTTCAGAATAATCCCGATCAGTTCCTAACCATGTTGATTTTATAATTTCAGAATTCAGAAAGTCGGGAATCACTGTCAGAAAACCCTGATGAGAGAAGCTCAGCTGAAAACAGCCGTGGGGGTAGCACTGATGATTTAGATTCCTTAGGATCACAACACACAACACCAACTCGTCGTATTCTTGCAAGTTGGAACAATCAGTGGAATAATAGCCAGTGGAGCTCTCGCATATGGGGCTCGAAAGATGGCCAAACACCTGAACAGCAACTTAATGATAGTTCTAACGCAATATCCAATGCATCTCCTTCTCGTTCTCTTCCCAAGAGCCCTACAAGAACCCCTGTCACTGAGAATGACCCTCTTGGAGCTTTGGTTGGAGAAATTGAAGAAGAGGAAGTAGAAGACTCTCAGTCTTGCAGTCAAGAGGGAACAGAAGAAAGCAACCATATTAGTGTAGGGCATGATGAAGAGGGAAATCCAATTTTGTTTGGAGGGAGACGAACAGGAAAGAACAATGAGAAAGGCGTTGCACGGAGTGCTACATTTCATGAAGATGAACGTGGAATTCCTGGTGCTCACGATAGTGATGTAAACAAAGATGACCCTAAAAAATCAAAGATAATGCAGCGGTCATCTACTATTACCATGCCTCTTGATGCACAAAGTGAAACTGGAGGTGGCTCAGTTGCATCAAGTATTGGAAGTCTTGGGTCGAGTTTTAAGTTACCATTCAGGTGAGTGACTTACTAAATTAATGTCGTGTTCTAGCTTTTGCCTTGTTGCTTTTTCTACTAAAAGTTGGCAACCTCCACAACTTTGTTATGCTCATCAGCACACCATCCATTAGAACTTGAAGATACAGTTGTGTTAGAGTCTTTGCTATACTAGTGCATGGTTCACACCCAATCAAGGTTAATTTGTTTTATATTTCAATTTACGTATCTATGTACAAAAATTGTAGTTTTGCACTGCAATGTACTAGTTGGTGGTTTAGCCTATCAATCATTTATATCTGCTGTCAATCCCATCGTAGATATGTTATTCAATTTACATAATTTGTCTCAATTAATGCAGGCCATCAGATGCTAAGAAGAACAGCCCTAAGAGGCAAAGTAGTATTAATCCATTGATAATAACAACTGAGAGTAGTTTTCAACCAATAGCAGTTAAGCGGCAGAGTACCCCAAATCCAATGGCTCATTTACCTCTCCCATCATCAGTAGAGGGGTAAATAATATTAATGATAAATATGTGAAGGATTGTGCACTTTTTGTGAAAGTGCATGCTATATTCTGTGCCCAACATACCATTTATGGTGCATCCGCCGCATTAGCTAAAGAAGTAATTATACTGACCAAAGACAGCATGTGTCAGATTTTATAGCATAACTCAGCATGCCAAAGATTTCCACCGTTAGGTCCGTTCACAAATACCTACCCATCATTTGATCCTCAAGCTGTAAATAGGCTAAGAAACCTTTTTACTTTACTTTTCCATCCTTTCTAATTAAAAATATGAATCCTTTTTTTCAAATGTTGCTGGTTTCTTTTTCTTTTCTAGTAATGTTTTGTTTGCCTTATTTTGTAGTTAAATGTTTTTGCACTGCATTTTGTTGAGTGTAGCATGTTGTTGTTCTTGCAGCCGATACTCTCCTAGCAGGTTTAGCCTCCGTAAGGCTGATCTTCGCATCGGACAACAGATTATTGAAAATGCAATCACTAATTTCAGGTTAGCTTTGCTCTTTCCCTTCGTTATTTTTTTAAAATCTTACTTACATTCTCCATTCCTATCCTTAATCTGCATGTGGAACTAGTCTAAAGTATTTTCACGTGACCTGATGCCACATGACTGTATGTTTTTATATGCTATTTCCTGCTGCTTATTGATAGTTTCATAAACTTCATAATTTTTTTTGTTTTTGGCATGGCTTTATTATGGGAGTGTTGTGTTTTTAGTTGAAAAACTTATTTTATATTGTTTTTAAAACTCCATTTATTTATTTTTTATTTGTTGGACTCTAATTGTACTTTTCAAGAAGATGAACTTAGTTCATAGCTGCTTTCTTCTTTTCAAATTTATTTAAACTTTACAGATAGGTCAATATGTTGTATGATCATCTGTAAGTTTGTAATAAGCGTAGTCCTTTTTCTTGATTTTTCATCTTCCTTTTTTATCCTACATCAGATTAATTCTTCAATTAGCCAAAATTGTCAATTTTAACTAATGTCTGTTTCTACCTTTTTTCCCAATTTTTCCCGTAGTCCAAGTAGTCTAACATCAAAGAAATCAAGTGAACTTCTCATGGGTGGATTGAATAGCTTGAAATTTGCTGCAACATCTGTAGCAAAGAAGTTTGATGAAATAAAAGAAGCTGTATCAGCAAACAATACACCCTCTAAAGCAACGAATTTGTAAGTTTTGCTGATGTTTTAAACATTATTATGGTTGCTGTTTGTTATTGCTATCTTAAACCAGTCTAAGCCAAAAAAAAAAAACAAAAAAACTTGTTCTTTGGTTTGTTTATATGAAGGCGTGACCGCGATCGAGAAGGCAGTTATTATGAAGACGACCACCAAGAAGGCAGCTGTGTGGCAGATGATGGAACTAACACTACTCGCAGTCGAAAAGTGTCAAGTGAATTTTCTCCATCCGTCACTCAAAATTTGGAGTATTGGAGTAGCAACTTACTTGATCTATTTGGAGATAACAGCCGGAAAGGCAGCTCTTCAAATTTGCAGCCTCTTGGTACTATCTAAGTTGTACTCTGTCTTTTTCTTGTCCATCTTCCTTCTTAAACATGGGTATATTATTTTATTTCAGGTGAGACATCATCAGTGACTTCACAGCAAATGCCTGTTTTACCAGAAAACCTCTATCCTAAAGTAAAGCGGGACTCTCGTATACCTGTTGCAATGAAATTAGTTCTCACAACCTGTTCAAAATGTCACAACTGTGGATCTATTCTTTATGATGAAGAAATCATGGCTGGATGGTCTCCAGAGGATTCCAACCTCAATACAAAGTAAACCTAGCACTCGGTCAATTGCTGCAAAGTTTCCCCATTCATATCTTTGAAACAACTCTACTAAGGTCTCTTATTTTTTACAGATGTCAATTTTGTGAAAAGGCCACAGTTCCTTTCCTTACAGTTACTGTTATGGATTATCGTAGCCATCCAAAAGCTTCAACTGGTATGAGCCAAGAGAGTTTACATTCCAGTCCTCGTAGGAAGAACTCAGGGTCTCTTTCAGTCAGAGGTATTATTAATTAATTTTGTGAAATTATATCTGTATGAAGTAACTGTTATTTCTTGTATTAACTGTAATACGGTGTATGGTTTTACAGCCAGTTGGATGTCCTTAAATTCTGGAAGTTTATTGAGTGTCGCAGAGACTGAAGAACTGAAGCAACCTGCACCCCAGTTGGAAGATGCTCAGGATGTGGCTCCTTCAATGACAGTGATCCCTGAGAATACAGTTTCTCCAGAGTTCTTGACTCCTGTCAGTGAGATATCAGGTGCTGCCCCATCGGAGGCAGCGGCTTCAACAACCTCTGATTACGATACCCCAACAACTGAAGTAGCAGTGGTCCCAGAAGATAGTCTCAATGAAGACCTAGTTGAAGGAACAACTGCGACACTTACTAATCAAGAGCCTGTAGAACCAATTGAAAACAACTCGCCCATTGATGAAGCTCATAAAGATTCCAACATAATTGTCCAAGACTCAACTCCAGAAGAGGGGACAACTCAGGGTCCAAGCAAGGGAGATGCCTCTGAAACAACTGTGAATCCAAAAGTAAGATATTCAATGCTTCATTGTTTTTGTGTGGTATATCATTGGTTATTTTCTTATCTAGTATTTTTATTGCTCCGTTTTTTCTTACAGCCTGAAGAGGAACCTGTTACTCTTGAACCCATCACTGTACCCTACTTAAACCCCTTAGTTCTGCGCAAAGAGCTTGAGAACATCTTGCACGCAGAAGGAGATGTGTGCCTTACGAGACCTTGCTTTGTGGATGAGCATCCTATAATATTTTGGAACATGGTCTGTTTTTGCTCTCTGTATTTGAGTTAACTAATACTAATATTTTTTCTATCTAATCTTATCAACATTTTCTTCCTCAGGTGTGGGCTATGGAGCGAATTGCAGTGGAAAGCCACCTGCCAGGACTTTGTCTTCAGTCACGGTCAGTTCTGCGGCAACAGACTAATGTCCACCCATCATGGTCACATCCTGACCACCGTCATGTAGTCGTTCGCTGTATGTGGGACAATCCTCGTCTGCATGAAGAAGTTGGCCTTCCCATGTATGTGCTATGGCAGCAGGATGATCAGCATTCTCCTTTGGTCAGCGCACTTCTAACTGACCGGACAACAGTATCTAGACCGTAAGCATGTACTAAGTCGCGTGATTATTTTGTGCTTTCCATTCATTTTTTTGTTCTAATTAAAACATTTTTTCCAGTGTTATGGAAATGATTATTGCGTCAATTAGGTGCAATGATTTATTGGAGCCTCTTAGGAAGTTGGCAACAGAACGTCATAAATTGAAAGGAAGAGGTGTCACTCGTAGCCATTCCATTTATCGTGATATTCTTTTCCTTGCCTTTATTGTGTTAGGAAGAGACAACATTCATCAAGGTAGGCATTGATAGATTTTCCTACAATATTTTAAAGTTACAACTATTAAGTACTCACATGATGTACTGATGATTTTTTATGTTTTGTTTGCAGCTTCATTTGACAGGGAATATGAAAATGCTTTTGACAAGCTCCCAGAGTCAGAACGAAAGCTTTATCTTCCCTGTGATCATCCTTTGTCCATCCCTGCTCTTTGTTGTAGACATTACTTCAGGGAACTTGAGCTTTAGGGAAGTTGTTTTCAATCTTACTTGAGTTTAGTTATAGTTAGAAGAAAGAAGAGTGAGATATTTGTAAAGTGTTGCATATATTTCAATTTCTTGAAATCCTAGATGCCTGAATTAGTTTTGTCATAATACCATGCACCCCTCAACCACTGTTCGTATTGAGAATTCAGCTTCAGTATTTTTGAAAAAGCAGTTGGTATTGATGTTGCTGAATGCTGTTTGTTGGTGCATCTCACCTCAGTTACTTATCACCAGCTACTTGCTCAAATCCAACTTGTTAGGAGTTGTTTTGATTTACTTCATGGGCTTCTTGATTTGTTTTGAAACTTGTCAGTGTTCAATAGTGTAAAGTAACATTTGGTTCTTTTAAGACTACTCCAAATAAAAAATTATTACAGTAAAGCTTCTAGTATTATGCAGTGTTGGTCCAAGTAGTTTACTTGTTATAAATATTAAGATACACAGGGTAGTACAAAATTCTACTTCTAAACTCAGTGTCAATTATACGTAAGTTGAACAAACAGTAAATGATATTGTATAAATTACTGTACAAATAGTCCTTTAAAAGGTGAATATGAATAATTGCTAGTTATGTGCAGTCTATTAATGATAAAGATTAATCTATCATGCCATTTTATCTGTTTGTTACCTTGTAATAAGGTTTATTTTTGAAACACTGTCTGATTGTGGGTTGTTTGGGTAGCTAAGTTGGGGTAACTAGGTGATTCCAATTGATTGTCACCTTACATTGCAGTCATGCACTGTACAGTTTACTTCTGTCAACATGTTGACCCGCTATAAAGCGCATTAATAATCAATGAAATTTGAACTTTGTACAGTTTTTATTACTCTTATGTAGATATTGATGAGTTCAAATCTTTTCAGCAATAATCGTCTTGTGAATTTAAGTCAATTCTTGGGTGTTCCCCATCCCAGGATGTTTTTACTTAGGTGGGACCACAAGTGTAGGGGACTGTAATTTTAAATGGTTTTCCTTTGAAAGGAAATGTTGCAAGTCTTTATCTTTATGTGTAACATGGATCTTCATGATGTGTTTGTTGTCGTACATCTTAGGTTTAAAATAGTCCATATTACTGATTTACTTAAAAATGAAATAAAAACTGGCTGGATGACAGGTTTAGAATTCTTGTCACTAGTATTTCTTTTGTTTACTACTTAATCAATTAGTCAGTTTTCTCATTCAAAGGCTTATTACTTAATAACAACTGCTTGAGATGTCTTGCGCTTTCATATCTATGCTCTTTGTTTTCATGTTAAAGAGGCTCTGTCATTTTGTATTAGTATTTGTTCTTGTTCATCTGTACTGAAGATCAAAGAATCATGGAGATTAATATCATTCTGTTTTAACTCTAGACTGCTTTTGTGTTACTCTTAATGCGTATGAAATGTTGTATATGCACCTATTAATGTGGTTGTCTCGAATGGTTTCACAAGTTGAGGTTTATTGTAAAACCTTTCACATCAGTGAGATTGTCATTGGCCTGACCAAATTTCGCCATGTTTGTTTCACCCCGTATTCATGTATCAAGATGAAATCATAAGATGCAGTTGTTTTCAGCTGTTGTAATCATGTAGCGCTGTAATTGTTGTTGGATCATGTTTGTTCATGATTTCAAAGTATGTCTCGCTTCTCAGACTCATATATTTATCTCCAACCATGTACCCTTAAACATTGTAGAATTGCTGTAAATTTGTACAAGTCTCTTTGACTGATGTAATTGATGTGAGATAGACTTCTGGCTTCATGAGGGCTAGACTTGTTTCAAGTACTATTTTTATGTATAATACAGGAGTATACTACACTAGAAAAATATTTATTTTTTGAAAGTGACAATATGTTTAATTGTTCTTGTATCATTATACTTGGATAATTATATTCTGTAGTGTGATGTGCACAGTAACCGTGCCTAAATTGTGCCTTGTTTTTAAAATCCCATTTAAGTGAATCTCTTGTCTGTTCCCCCTTCTTGTAATGTTTGTCGTTGGTATTCTTATATTGCTTTTGAGGCATTGTATTTTACTTTATTTAGATGCTCCATTCCATCTGAAATATTGGGCATTTTTTGTTAATATTGTAAGTAGTGTTCAGGCCCATTCCTGTGAAGTAAAGGGCATTCTGTTGTTGGCTTTGGAAGCTCTTTAATTTTATTCATTGTAATTTTATGTTACTGTACAGATTTCTTCAAAGTCAAGATTAATTTTTTGGCAGTTACTTTGTAACTATGTTAGAACTGTATTAAATTTAACATTTTGTACAGGATTTTGTTGTCTGTGTACCATAAGGTGCCTCTTTTACTTAATGAATTTTGATTCTGAACCTGGTTTATGATTCCTGTGAATTTGAATTTATCATGAGTTGAGGGGAACTATTGTCTATTGTGACTGTTTATCACGGGCACAGTAAATTCTACTGCAAGTATGTGAAATATTTTAGAGAGAGATTGTATTACTTTATACTCATGTATAAAAGTGTAAAGTGTGTAGTTTTAATTTAGAAGCCCCTCAACATGATCAGTGATAGTATTATTTTTTTTCTTTGTTCTAGTTGATTGCCTTATTTTATTATTTTTCTTGCTTGAAAAAAATCTTGAAGGATGTAGCAGAGAGAGGAGAAGGGACCACCACTTAGTTGTTTTGTATTCTTCTCTTGTCTTTGCTTCTCCTGTTTGTATTTGGGAAATTTTAAACTCCACCACAGTTTTGCAATGTCAAATTTATAGAATTACTGTACCTTGAGGTGTTATCTTCTGGAGACTATTACATCAACAATTGACTTAGTAGTTAGACCCACTGTAAGAGCCTTATCTTGAAATGCCCAAATGATGTGGAAAATGAAATTAAATGAAGGATTTTTTCAGAAAGGCCCCCCTCAAGATAATTAAATATGTGATGCAGACTCTATAGTAGTGCTATGTACTTTGTGTGGTGGTGGTGGGCTGCTGGACTTGTGTTGGGGGCTAGTGTTGGCAATCCCTGCTGTTGAATCTTTATTCATGTTACTGCAAAAACAAATAAATGAATATATTTTTAATTTATTTGGCCTTTCAAATTAACCTTTGTCCAATTAACATGTCATGAACATAGCCAAATGGCTCAAATTGTTTAAACCTTCATGCGTTACAGATATAGGAACTGGAAGTTTAGTGGCTTAGTTGCGGTCAAAATAGACTGATCTCCACATTTCAAATAAATTTATTCACTCAAGCATTTACACAGGAGAAATGAGAGAACATCAAATGGAAGTACAGTAAAACTGCTTTTTTTTTAGCTTAATAAGAGCATTACACTGGCTTGAAACAAACATAGATAAAAAAAACAAAATAACAAAATCATTGCACACTCATAACTTAGGTTTCCTGCTTGTATTAAAAAGTTGATTTTTTTTTCCTTTTTTCAATTTTTAAATTTAATGAGGGGCGAGCTTATCCAGCAACCAAAATCAAAATAGTTGAGGAGAACTTAATAAGCTTTCTTTCCTCCCAAAGTATCGCCATTTGAAGATGCATTAGACCTTGCATAAAGGTAGAAAAGCAACAAGCTTTTGTTTCCCTTCGAGCTCTCTGATCTTTCTTGGGCTGAGCGATCAGTTGGCTGAGCGATAGCAAGCCATGGGGGGCAGGAGCATGAAGTGCACATCTCTGGACCTCTGAAACTTCTGCTGGAATTTTCATTGACTTATTATTAGAATCTGACGAAGGGCCTCTTCATCGCCCAGCCAACAGTTTTCGACTTCATCTAGTTCACTTCAATCCTTGAAAAGTTCCAGGACCACATTCTATTTGGCAGCAGGTACGTACAGCGTGGTGGGAAGGGAAGACTACACTCCAAAACGACAGCGGGTGTCTGCCTTTGGTTTGATCCAGTCTTACTTTCACACTGACATTTGAACAATGAGATCCTGACAATGGAAGACCAAGGGTATGAATGGCTGCGTGCTCGCTGAGTCCAAGGCCGTCTTCACTATTCACGATCGCGGGTCCATTCCACGATTAATGGCAGACCTAATAATGATCCTCAGACCGAGGTCGCTCTCTCCGCCTAGCGATATTTTTATAATTCCTAATCCGATATCAAATCAATATTGCGAGCGTGACCGACTCTCGTATGACTGACATCGACTTCGATCCCACCTCCTCCGAAAAAACAAGGTTTCGCATTGTTTTTGTTGTTTTTTTCCAATGTGAATTTTCTTGCCCGGTTCGACCGAAAACAGTTTTGGAGCCGCTTGGACTAGCACGCCGTCGCGAGACAGCCAAACAGCGTTCCTCCTCGGTCCAGGCCGTCGGCGTTCTTTCGCTCGCTCTCCCCAACAGGTGCGCATCCGGGGGGTGGAAAGGGGGTAGTTGCCCCCTCCTTGGGCACTAGCTAGGCCACGGTAGGCAGACAGCTCCAGCTAGTCGCAGGCAAAAGGCGCTTCTCTACCCCTCCTTCGGCAAATTCTGGATCCACCCCTGCGCCGCTGCGCCCCTGCGCCCCTGCGCCCCTGTGGGCCTCTGACCGAGACTCGCCATCCAACCAGTGAGGTTGCGGAAATGATAGGCGGCGCTCGCGCCGAACGGAACGCACCAGACGATACGATGCTAAGTCAGAAATGAACAGTCTTACATTAGAAAATAATCTAACCGTTTCATCAGAAATCGCGTGATTCTGCAACGTAAAAATCCTGTTTAAGCTACCTTTCATATAAAATTTTACGGTCTATGAGTTTGCTTTTAATCGTATGAAAATAAACCTCTCTTTAGAGCCAACTGCCCCTACAGAGCGTAAAGTCAAACTACAGCGGCGTTTGGCGTTTGGCGTTCGGACAGCCATCCGCTGCGCTTCGACCGCCATGACTCGTCCCGGCAAAATGAACCAGAAACCAGGCGCCTCTCTGTGTCTCTCCCACTGCAGCACTGTGAAACTGCAGGCTTTGCACTGCAGGTCAGAACGACACGGAGGCAACAAAGAAAGTATTTACTATGAAAGGACAGCGTGTGCACATTCTGACAGGCAAGCGGCGGACTTCCGGGACTTCCCTCGCACGTTGCCTGCAGGGTGGGCAACCCTAGGCAACCCGACGAACGCGCGCATTTGGGTTTGGAAGGAACATGACACAGCGGCCCGCTTCAAGGCCAACACAAACAAACATGACACAATTTTTCGCGCCAAAAACACCTTATGTACCTTAACATGTAGTGGACGTGAGCGTCAATAAACACTGGACTGTTGATAGATGTTTTAAACATGAAATAAATTAGCGATAATCTATGTATCGGGACGTTACCACAGGGAATGAAGAGGAAATCATATTTACATAGCGATAATGAATACATGATTGAATACAAGATCACAATTCGACATTTAAAAAAATCTTCTTATGTGCGGGAAAGTACACCAACCCTTTTACAGTAACACACAATCGACGGATAAATTTCTTTTCAATAAGGGTCAAAAATGGCGGTTATTACTCTGTAACGGTTACTCGCGGACAGTTTGAGTGTACTTACAGTCGGTGGTGTACTTTCTCGCTGCGTCCTCATGAACCGAAGGGGAGACGCCAGTTCGGACTTGAGGTGAAATCATGGAGAGTTCAAATCTATTCATCCGTCATTTTGAGAGCCACAGAGTGCGCCCTCGCGATTTGAATTCTGTCCTGCCTTCTGAAGTAGAAAAGACTATGGCTAGGGCACCCCTTCAAATTAATGGATTGGTAGGCCATCTTAAGTGACATATCACAAATATATATTATAACATATATATACCATTTATATTTTATATTTAAATAAAAGAAAATATGTGCACAATACTAAAAGGCACCCCCTTTTGCAGGGGGCTGTATAGGTGCAGTCTCACACACTTTGTTGGATGGGTTTTGATTTAGACACAAAATCTCTCATCTAATCCCCTATTAGCTGCAATGATAAACAAGAAAAAGTCTGCTGAGAAAGAGAGAGAGACAGTTGAGGCAAAGCAAGGAGTACGACACTGCTGTTGAGAACGATTGATAAATTTGAACACCCCTTTTCTCACTGGATGACGGCCATTCTCTCTCTCTCTTTCCGTCTCTCTCTCACACACACATACACTCGCTCGCACGCACACTTACACTCACACATGCATTCCCTCATTTTTTCAGCACAATCATATCTCAGTTCTAATGGTTCCCGCGCACGAAATGGTCAATCTTTCGGCCTGGGCGATCGACGTGCTGATCGTGCTGACCGTGCTGACGTCACGGCGGCACCGCCTCGCACTGTCGCACCGCCGCGCGGCTAACTAGAAGTATAAAAGTGATTACCTCCTCTTCTTTTTTGGTCACTTGAGGCTTTCTTCCTCCCACACTGGTCAGTGAACAACAACAACGTCAACAACATCAACAACAACAGGGCAGGCCGGTGGCGTCGGTGGCGCGTTCACCGGGACTGCGTGCACTGCGTGGACTGTGTCGCGGCCGCGGCGGGGCGTCCGGGGCGTCCGACGGGGTCCTCGCCGAGGTCCGCGTCGCCCTCCCCGCCGCTGCGCTCGCCCTCTGCCGGCGACATGCAGAGGCAGAGGCGGCGCTGTCACTTGCCGCCGGACGATGACGACGACGACGCGGACGCCTCGCCTGCGAGACAAGGACAAACAATGATGGCGGCACGCCAGGGGACAGGTGGAGGCGCCCGAAATTCTAGCCGCGTTTTGAGCTCCAGAGTCGCTAAATGGGACTCGAACCGAACGTGTGACCCCCATCAATGGATTGCTCTCCGAACGAGGAATCCAGTGGAGGGGTCATACGTTCGGTTCGAGTCCTCTGTAGCGACTCTGGAGCTCACAACGCGTCTAGAGTTTTGGCCGCCGGCACCGGTCTTCTGGCCCACTGTGGCACGGCGGCGATGTCCGCGAGCCAAACAAAGCAGTGGCCGTACCTGTTTTGTGGGGCTTGCTGTTGGACTTGCTCCGGGACTTGTCCTTCTCCTTCTCCGGGCTCTCCGGCTTGGGGTGGCTGCTCTTGCTGCGCGAGCGCGCGGCCGCCGCGCCGTCGGGCTTCTCCCTCTCCTTGTCCTTGTCGGGGCCGTCCTTGCTGCCCGACTTGGCTGCAAACAGAGTGAGAAAGAAAAACTCGAGTGAGAAAAGTGCTTCTTCTTGTTCGTTTTGCGGCACGGCTGCACGGCGGCACGTGCCTGGAAGCGCGACGCGAGTACGATGACGTGCTCGGCGAGCTCTCGATCGGATTTGCTGAGCCCGCCTGCGCCCCGGGCCCGGGCCGCCCCTGGGGCCGCTAGTGCATGCATGCGCTTTGTTCTGTCGGTCGAGAGGGCCACCAGAGGCCAGAGGGACTCTAGAGGCAGGCTGCCAGGCAGGCAGGGGCCTCGACGGGGTGCAGCGCAGCGCCAGCGCAGCGGCAGCAGCGTCAAGGGCCTGGACTTGTCGGGAGCCCTCCAGAGGCACCGACAAAGAATCGTCACACACAAAAATTGCCGGCAGTTGTCAAAAATATAAATAAAAAGCCACAATGGAGAAGAACACAGATTTTGACCAGACGCAGCAAAAACCCGATTCCTGATTTCTGAATTTTACTTCCCCCAGCTTGATGTGCTGAGGTCTCTGGGACTGCCGTGTGACTGAGGTCTCTCGCAGAGACGCTCAGTGGGGACAGAAGAAGAAATTCCCAGACGGGTTTTCAGTTTCCGAGTCGCTGAATGGGACTCGAACTGAACGTGTGACCCCATCATTGGATTGCTCTCCTAACGAGGAATCCATTGGTTGGGTCACACGCTCGGTTTGAGTCCTGTTAAGCGGCTCTGCAGCTGAAAACGCGTCTAGAATTCTGGCCGCCTCCACCGCCAGCACTGTGAGGCGGCGGGTAGGCAACGCGAACACACGGCTGCGCCGCGGAGACTGTGCTGCCTGCCTCACAGGCGGCAGGCCCCACTCCACTCCACCCTCTCGCTGTGTGGCGTGTGGTACAGTGCCGTGCCTCGCAGCGTCGCCCTTTGCCTTTGTGGCAGCCTCTCCATGGCCTGGCAGTGTGGCAGTCTCGGCCTCGCAAAAAGCCGTAATGGCCGTTAGCCGCAGTCGAGTGAGTGTCTGGCCCTTTTTGCGCCGAGCACGCCGAGCACGCCGAGCACGCCGAGGTACGCCCCCTCAGACCGGAAGTGGCGGCTGAATCAGGCGGGCGGCCTCGGCGTCTCGAGTCCCGGGGCGGGGCTAGTCGACAAGAAGGCGAAGCAGGCCAAGCAGCAGGGCTGCCCGACGGCGACGGCACACAGGATAAATCTCTCTCCACGCGGCCAAGTAGTTTTGGCCGCGGTCCAACGCGCCGTGGTGGCCGGGGCCGTGCCGCTGTCCGGGGCCGTGCCGCTGTCCGGGACCGTGCCGCTGTCCGAGGCCGTGCCGCTGTCCGGGGCCGTGCCGCTGTCCGAGGCCGTGCCGCTGTCCGGGGCCGTGCCGCTGTCCGAGGCCGTGCCGCTGTCCGGGGCCGTGCCGCTGTCCGGGGCCGTGCCGCTGTCCGAGGCCACGCCGCCCTCGTCACCCTCCACCTCGACCCGTTCCCATCCCGGGCCTCGCTCCCTTTTCAATGTGCGCTACTACTCCAATTTGGAAGTGCTCCATCTTCCAGCGTCGCTGCGGTACTCCATTGAGACGCCCCATCCACCACAGCGTCACGGCGCTGCCGGCGCCCGGCCCCTCGCCACGGCCTTCCACGCACGGTTGGAATTGCCCATAAAAAGGATAGAAAAACTTGAATGGGAGTTCCGGACCGAAGATGCTCCAGCGCGACGGAAGATCTGGGAGTCCGAGGCCCCCGGTTCGGACCGCGGTTCGGTCCCGGTTCCAGTCCTGCTCCAGCCCCACCCCCTCCCTGCCAGACCGCCAGACCGCCAGCCGCACGACCTTGTCCCGGACGCGGGGCGGGGCGGGGCGGGGGCCGCGGGACTGGCGGATGGAAATTAAATCTTTCTTCTGGTGCGCGACGCCACGGCTGGCGAGCTCTGCCCGCCCCAAGTTGGCCGTTGTCGCGATCTCTCTTTCTCTCTCTCTCATCTCTCTCTCTCTCTCTCTCTCTCTCTCTCTCTCTCTCTCTCTCTCTCTCTCTGTCTCTCTCGCTCGCTGGCGGATGGCGCGAAGGGCTGTCACCACCCGTAATCATTTTAGCACGAACGGCGCCGCGGCTCGGCGCGGCACGGCGCGGCCGTGTTGCAGTGCTTGCTTTCCGGAGGGCCGCACCGACTCTGCAATTTAGTTCCAAGCCTGCCCATGCTGCGCGGGCAGCGCGGAGGAGAAGGGAGGAGGCGGGGCGTCCTCATCCTCGCTCCATCCCCGTCGTCCCCGTCCTCGTTTCCAACGGCGTCCTGCCAGGCTCCGCCGCTCCGCCGCTCCGCCAACCTCTCTCTCATCAATGAAGCATCACCGAGCTATCCGGCGCACTCTGTCCCTGCCTGCCAGCCTGCCTAGACGCCCCAGATCCAGGGGCTGCTTGCTTTATGAAGCAACACGAAGGCAAGGCGTGTTCAGCTTGGTTCCCCTCGCCCCTGCTCTAACTGCCTGCCTGCCTGGCCACCAGCTGATGAAAAGAAACGCCATGCTCGGCTGAGCCGGGGTATCAAAATTACACGCAAGACAAAGCGTGGTTATTGCGCTCTGCGCTCCGAGCGTGACGCCCGGGGCGTGACTAAAAAGGGGGCGGAGAAGCCACGAGCCGCGCTCCACGCCCACGCCACTGTGAGCACGCCCCACGCTTCCTGTTGGGCGTGACTGTCAACTCCAACCATACTCTTGCCACACCGCTGTTGAGAATACGCTCTGGGCAAACACGCCTTACAAGGAAGCCGCTCCCCCCTTCTCCCCCCTCTCTCTCGCTCTCACTCCCTCTCTGGCACCTCGGGTAAAGGACGACGGCGACCTTTCCCGTAAAGCGTTCCACCCCACGGCCCACGGCGCGGCGTAGACAGAGATGGCAAACGTGAAATGTGGTCCCACCCCGCCCCGCCCCGCCCCGCCCCATTGCACGCCTTGTTGCCGCAGGAAGGACGCCCGAGAGATGTAGCGAGTTGGAGGGGGCGGAGTCGAGGGCGGCCAGGCCCAGGGCGGCGCGGCCCAGGGTGAGGTGTCTGGGCACGCAGGAATTATGGTCGGGAGGGGCCGAGCCGAGGCGGCCAGGCAGGGGCAGGGGGGAGGGGGGGACGCGACGAGTTTAACCAAGTAGGCGACGAAAGGGCATACAGCGGGCCGAGCGCACAATGCTGCCGTGCTAAGGGTTCAGAATGGAACCGCTGGGAGGGGGTGGGGCGGGGCCGGCGCGGGCCGAGCGGGGGGCGGGGCGGGGCGGGGCGGGGCGGGGCCGGGGCGGGCCGAGCGGGCCGAGTGGGGTGCAGGCGCGGGCGTTATCAGGAAGGAAGTGGGGAGGGGCGGGGGGAACGGGGGTGTCTGCCTGGCTGGCTGTGGAAAAGAGGGTAATCGGAATCAAAGGGCGACGCCCGAGTGCCGGAGTCAAGAGGCGAGGCGCCGCTCCAGACCGTGCCAGCATGCCGCCAGCCCAGCGCCTCGTCGCTCTGTCTCTGTCGCAGTCACGGGGCTCTCCGCTGGGGTGCGAGAGAGACAGAGTGCGCTCTTCCGAATCTCTCGGCGGGCCGCCCGCGCGCTTTCCTCAGCCATTGTGTAGTACCCCTCTTTACCTTTGACCGCGGCGCGGCTCACAGTGGGCCAGAAGACCGGCGGAGGCGGCAAAAATTCCAGTCGTGTTTTGAGCTCCAGAGTCGCTGAACAGGAGTCAAACCGAGCGTGTACCCCACCAATGGATTCCCGGTCTGGAGAGCAATCCATTGGTGGGGTCACACGTTCGGTTTGAGTCCCATTTAGCGACTCTGGAGCTCAAAATGCGCCGGGTATTTCGACCGCCTCCACTGGTCTTCTGGCCCACTGTGCGGCTCGGGGCGGCTCGGCCCCGATTGTTACTCTGCGGCTATATTCGGATGGCGATGCTCGATCCGGCGAGCGGAAGTAGCGGAAGTACACGGCACGACACGACAGGACGGCCAGCACATTAGCGCCCCGTTCTGTTTACCACTGCCACCACACTGCCGCCGCCGCCATTTGCTTGCGACCTTTGCCTTTGGAATAACGACCGCCGCTGACATCGACATCGACGTTGACATAATCGACGTTGACATCGTCATCGGCCGCGGCGACTGACTGCTCGACCTGCCCGGCGGCGTCACTCACCGTGGTTGTTGCTTTGAGCCAAGAAGAATGCTTGAAAGAAGCGAATTGACTTGAAACACCTAAAAGCACCCGCGGGGAAGTGACTTCCACAGGACAATTGTTTGTTTTTGCGGTTTGAGGCGTCGGTGCCTTGGGATGACACGGCAGGGACCCCGGACATCGCTTGCACTACGCGCCACTAAGTGACCTATTTCTGCGCGCTGTGACCACTGGGCCGCCCCCTCCGCCCCCACCCCCGCGGGGCCGCGGCCAGGATGGTGCCAACAGCAGTGGGCTAGGGCAGCGCCGAGCCGCGCATGGAGGGCCTGCAGGCTGCTAACTATGTGACATGCAACGCCTGGCGGGGCCACTACCCACCAAGCCCCGCCACCTCCTCCCCAGCGGCCCCGCCAGCGGCCCCGCCAGCGGCCCCGCCAGCGGCCCAACCCCACCCAACTTATTCTCAGCCACAACAGGGAGCTGGCCAGAGATAAACTGCAGGCCTGCAGGCTTGAGCCTGGCTAGAGCCACCCCTGCCTGCCCGGCCTGCCTCAGAGCCCAGAGCCGCCCCGCGGCTACCCCTGTCTCGTTTCATATTCATTGGAATTCTTTAGCTGGGACCAGTGAGTGACCCCGGGCCCCGGCCGCCCCCGGCCGCCCTGGCCGTACCCGTGGGAAATGGATCCTCGAATCGACGTCGTCTGTCGATTTCAATTCGACTTTTTCGCCAAAGTCACGTCGATTGAGTCATCGCCGATCAAATTTTGATTGGGCCGACCCGCTGTGTTACCACTCCCTTGCTACCCCTTGTCCACCGTCTTTGCTACCCATGACAACCCCCTGTTGGCCACCCTGCTGCCGCCCCTGCCGCCACGGCGCCACGCCGCGGCACGGGTCAGCCGAGAGAGAAAGACCTGTGCGAGGAGGAGAGCGCTTCAGGTGAGGAAGTGAGACGAGACGCGAACCAACGAACACTATCGACCCGGCAAGCTCCTCCATGACCCCCACCCTGGCCCACCCCAACCCACCTCAACCCGCCCCACCACGCGCGGCCCCCACCCCGCCGCCCCCAGCGCGGCCCGCCCTGTCCCTCTCTTTAGCGGCGCTGTCTCCGGCTCCTCGCTGGGCGAGGGCGAGGGCCCCAACGGGGCGGGGCCGGGCGGGTCCCAGCGGGCCGGTGTTTCGTCACTGTCTCTCTCGCACCTGCACGGAAGGCCGCATGAGTGCGAGGGAGGCAGAGACACGAAAGCGACGTTCGGAATGGCTCTGAGGCGTCCTGGCAGACACACACACACACACACACGCACGCATACAGACACCTGACCCCTCGCAACCGCACGCTGTATCTCGCGCCCCTCCGTACCTTCGTCACTGTCCTCGCTTCCCCGAGACGCCGAGACGCTCCGCGAGTCCACGAGTCGCAGCGTCGCAGCGTCACGGCGTCGCCCCTCCCGACCCGCTCCGATTCAATTCGCGAGGCGATTCCAAATTTCTGCACCGCGCCACTGACTTCCGGTGGAGTGGTCGTTCCGGCGGCAAATAACCGACTGTCTCACGGAGCGGTAATTTGATTCCGGAACTGGAAAAGTCGCTGCCAGCGCCTAATTGTCCGCCCCCCCCCCTCCTCTCTCTCTCTCTCTCCTCTCCTCTCTCCTCCTCTCTCTCTCTCTCACCGGGTTGACCAGCTCGTCGTCGCCGCCGGAAATTGCGACGCAGCAAGCAAGGCGAGGCGGAGAGCAGAGAGAGGCTGAGCGAAGCAGGGAATCCCAGTCGCTGCAGACTCATGCCGAGAGTCGCTCTCGTCGCTCTGCCTCTCTCGCACTCATGGGGCGTCCCGTGGCGGTGCGAGAGGGGCAGAGCGACGAAAGCGACTCTCGGAGTCAGTCTGCGGGTTCGTCCGTCCTCTAGATGCAGAGGGAGTGCCAGTTGTGCCTGCCTAAATGGAGTGGGTGGTCCGGCGGTCCGGCCCGGCTTTTACAGTGAGGGGGAATACTGCACAGAAGGGAAGCAGTTGCGCGCTCTGGCAAGCGCAGAGATAGCGCGGGAAGGCCAGTGAGGGTCCGGGCCGCAGAATCCCGGCAAGGCCGGCACGGCGAAGCGAATCTGCGAATCGCTGTGACTCAGCCTGAATACGACCCGCAGGGCCTTGAACGGCGGCGCCAGCAGCCGCGCCGCCTCGCCGCCTCGCTGCTTCACGTTTCGCACGCGCGGCGCGGCGCGCGGTCCAAACCCAAACCGTGGCATTTACTACGTTCCTGGCTGTGCTGCGCGCTCCGCGCTCCGCGCCCTTCTCTGCTGCCGCGAGGGAAAATTTTCCATTTCGGTTTCGCCTCGTCGGAGTCAAAAGCGCCGCACAGAGCCGAATGGAAAATGGAAATGGAAACGTGGCGAGGGGTTTTCAATCGAGGGTGGCGATGCGCGACTTGTGCAATGATCGCAGCGACTGCTTTGGCGTGGCGTGGCGGGGCGTGGCGGGGCGTGGCGGCGGGCGGGGCGGGGCGGGGTGGGGCGGGGCGGGGCGGGGCGGGCGGGGCGGGGCGGGGCGGGGCGGGGCGAGGCGCTGATGGCGACTTTTAATCAGGCTTCGATCAAAGTGCCGGCCTGCCCGGCCTGCCCGCTCACCAAGCGAGCGGCGAGGGGGATAACTTTCTGATGCATACACTTTGCAACTCTAATCGACTTGGGGGGAAATTTGGATTAAAATCACACAAATAGTAATATTGCGGTTGAATTTAAATTGTATATCTTTAATAAAAAATTTACCTCTGGTTGAAACTATTTGGAACCTTGCAAAAAGTATGGCCAATCCCACGAGAAAAACATGGTTTCCTCCCTCCCCGTGGGGGAAGGGGTGGGTCGGGTGGTGCTCTGGGTTCGGGTGAGGGGGAGGGGGGTTAGGGGGAGGGGGGCCTCCGGCGATGATGCGGAAAGTTTGAATTACTGGCGTTCGCGCGTTCGCCGAGCGCCCTCCACTTCCACAGTGTCGCCGCCGATAGCCAATTGAAGGAAGGCACGCTCGGGGCACGAATATCCCCGCGCCGCCGCCCTTAGCACGCGCACACTTACACACACACACACACACACACACACACAGAGTAGACACTCACCACAAACACACACACAAACACCCACAGTACACACTCACCACACGCACACTCACTCCGACACACTCACTCATCCATCACACGCCCCGCGCACACAGTGTGCCACACAGTGTGCCACACACGCACCCGATCCTCGAGGCCACGAGGGTGTGGGAGAGAGAGAGAGAGAGAGAGAGAGAGAGAGAGAGAGAGAGAGAGAGAGAGAGAGAGAGAGAGAGAGAGAGAGAGAGAGAGAGAGAGAGAGAGGGCGAGACACAAGCCCTCCCCTCCCACTCGATCCCGTTGTCGAGGAAGCTCTTCTACTCATTTTTGTGCTTTGTTCTCTCGCCGCGTTTTCTGCTGCCCCGCAGGCTGAGAGTCGTTTCCGTCGCTCTGTCACCCTCGCACTCGTGGGCGCGCCATGTAGGTGCGAGAGAGACAGCGCGACGAAAACGACTCTCAGTCTGCTGGCATTTGGATGAAGCAGAGCACAGGCGGCGCGGGTTGACCCCGTGGACTAACGAAGGCCGCCGCCCCCCGCCCGCCCTGCCGCTGCGAGAATGAGAAAGCCTCAAACAACAGGGCGCGCCCAGCCCAGCCGAGCCAATGGCCGAGCGCAGCGGAGAGCGCCTGTCATTCGGAGGGTAGGCAAACCCGTCGAGCACCCGTGCGTCGCGGCAGCTGGGCGGCCTACCTCGCAGGCGCTCTGCTCCGCCGCGCTCCCTCACGGAGCGCCCCACGAGTGTGACAGAGACGGAGCGAGATCGCTGCGCGCGCTTTAAACGGGCAGGGCGATGGCTGCCGTCGGCTGCCGTCGGCGTGGGCCGAAACGTTCATGACATCCAAGAGACGCGGCCAGCACCGCGTTGAGACGTAGGGATGAGTCACCGGGGTGGGGAAGTGCGTGGGTGGCCGAGGCAGCCGGGGGTGGAGGGGGGGGGGACACTGTGGGCGTTGCTCGGCGCGGACGCCGAACGGACCCCTCCCCCACCCCAGTGCCTGCCCCCGGGCCTGTCCGGTGCCGCTCCGACCCTCGGAGGCCCCGCGGCCCCGCGGGGGGAGGGGGCTCGAATTTTACAACAAACAGTGGTTTGGCCGAAGGGTGGGACGGCATTCTAAAGGGAAGGACTCACGTACACACGCGCACACACACACAATACATACACATTCTCTCTCTCTCTCTCACACCCACTCTAGCGCACTCACGCACCGACGACGACGGAAGAGGAGGATCCCTTTAGCCAAGCGAAGCGACCGCGCGTTGTTGCCCTCTCTCTCTCTCTCTCTCACTCACTCACCTCTTGAGTCCCTGAAGCGTTTGGCCCGATCTTGCTGCTGCTGCCCGGACTGCCGGGCCTGGTCCGCCTCCCTCACCGCCGAGCTGGGGAGCACGCCTGCGAACCGTCAAAGCACGGCAGCGTTAGCACGTTAGCACCGCGTTAGCATGTTAGCACCAAGCTTGCCCCCCCCCCCCCCACACACAAAACCACACACACACACTCACTCACTCACACACAGAATCATCGGGGCGCCACTGAAAGCGGACGTCCGTGGCAAAAATGAAATCGGGCTTAAGTAACTGACGCCGACAGGTTTCGCTGTCACTTAGGGTGCCGCCCGCCCACCCACCCCGCCCAGCCTACGCGTTGGCATGTTTCGGCAGTGGAACCGTTTCGGTTAATTTGAGTGGAGCTGCGCAGTGCGGAGCATGGCGGAGCACCGAACAGATGCGCGGGGAATCCAGTTGGAAACAGTTGGGAACGCTGGAGTCGGCTATTCAAAACCCTGGACCAATATCGTCTTTTGTCATTTTCCTCAACGGATAAATTAGCACATTTGCAGCGGCTGGTCCTGAGGCTGGTCCTCCCTCCTCCCCTCATCGCTCGGCGTGGCTCAGCCAAAGACGAGTACAACAGGCCCTGAATAATGCCTGCACGCAATCGATAGAGAGAGCACTCTCCACGTCCGCGGCACACGTGCTGGCAAGACTGAGACGGACAGACAGGCAGGCAGACAGGCAGGCAGACAGGCAGGCAGACAGACGGACGGACGGGCAGAAGGGCGGATAAACAGATGAGGCTGAGGGGCCTGAGGGGAGGCGAGGGGAGGCGGTGAGGCGAAGCCCCGTGTGGCTAACCTGTGGCTGATAAAGGACTTCCCTGTTCATTGTTGTCGTGTTGGGCTGGGCTGGGTGGGGCTGAGGCTCACCTGCTCAAAATGTGCGCACAAGCGAGTGAGACATGCACGTTGTGAGTTTTAGCTTTGCAAAAAACAAAAAGTGAGGTCCGGATTAAATAGCCGTCGCGTGGCTTGCGGTTGGTGAGCGGTCTGCTGACCTCCACCGAGGCAGGGGCTCTGTAAAACCCGAGGGAAACGCCCCTCTCCAAGTCACTACAGTTGGTACAGTCGGTACAGACACACAAAGGTCTTTTTGCAGTGTAGGGCTGGGCCCAGTGCAGCAACCACAAACGGGGCGGCATTGCCAACTGTTGGCAGCGAAACCAACCGAACTTCGCGCCCTCGTGTCAGCTTAATGGCCTCGGTAAACAGCTTGAACCTTTCGCCGCCAGGGCTGCCAACTTTGCGAGCGTGCGGGGCCCAGCGGAGCCCCCTAGGCGTGACGAGGATGTATTACAGTGGCGCGCTTTTTGTGTGTTTTCGGCTGCTGTTTGTGTGCCCGGCTAGGCGCGGCCCGGCCGGGGGCAAGACCTCGGCAATCCGAACGCGCTTTGTTTGTTTGAAGTTAGCAGTCCTGGAAGCAGAAACACTTTATCGCGGCAGCCAGCGGGGTGGCTGAGGGGTGTGCAGGGTGCACTGTGAACGGTGGCGAGCCCTGTCGCGCAGTGGCTGGGCATCTAGTCTAGTCACGCAACCGCCGCAGACGCCTGGAGAAAGCAGGCAAAACAATCCCCCCTCCCTTCCTGGGTCAAATGGGGCCAGAGCGCCTGTCAGGTAGGCAGCTCTGAAAGCAGGAGTTCCAGTCAAATGGGGCGAGCGTCTGTCTGGTAGGCAGCTCTGAAAGCAGGAGTTCCAGTCAAATGGGGCGAGCGCCTGTCGGGTAGGCAGCTCTGAAAGCAGGAGTTCCAGTCAATTGGGGCAAGGAAGCAAAGGTGCCCGCGGGCGGGGGGGAGCAGCTCGTTGTCAAAAGCAACAGTTAATAACGAAGCGAACGGGCAACTTGAGGGAAGGGCCATAGAGCTGCGGAGGCGGGGATGAAGATAGAACCGCCGGAGGCTAGGACCCCATCCCCCTTCCTGCTTGTGTGCTCCGGGTCAGACACAGGTTCTCCCTTGTCGGACAAGAATCTCTTAAGCCCGTCGCCCCGGGTCTGGCGCAGTCTGGCGTTAACGGCGGTGTGATATCCGAAAAGGTCAGAGCAGGGTAACCTGCAGCCGTTTTCTTGTTGCTCCTGTTCGTGTTCGCGTTGGCAGTATTTCAAATTTGGACAGCGTTGAGAGGGAGGGCTCTGGATGTATGGCGCTAGTAAACAAATCCTTTAATTGCAAAAAGAAACGCGAACACCACGCCTCGGCGCGCCGGGCCTGAGGTACCTTCGGGTTATTCAGCCGAGGTGCCGACGGGCGCTTCCCGACATTATAAACGCCGCTCTCCAGATTCTGCTCTCCAGACGTGCTCCACATACTGTACTTTCATATTTTCATTTATTATTATTTTAATTTTACTTATTAGTGATGATATTTTTGTTTTGTATACACTGAAACATTTTGAAAGGCCATGCGATCACCACTGCCCCGCTGCCGCAAGCCCAGCCCGGCGGGGCACATGTTGGCGTGGCGGCGCGGCGTCGTCAACTCCGACTCACCCTTCTTGGCGGCGCCAGGGAGCGCGAAGTTGGGCCTGGAGGCAGGCGCGGACGTGGACAGCCAGCAGTACATGGCGGTGGGGCTGGGCCTGGGCCTTGGCCGGCTGGGCGGTGCGGGAGTCCGGTGCGGGGCTCTCTTACTCTCTCGTCTCAACGGCTTGTCTGTTGTCTCTGTCTCGACACGTGACGCGGGGATCGCAAGGCGCGGGGGGCTCTGGCTCTAGCTGCTCTCGCTCCTCGCCATCGTGGAGGCTTCTCGCTAGCCTCGCTACTGACTGGACTGGCTCACTGGCACAGGCGCGCTGCTGCCGAGGCTGCCGAGCACCAACCCTCCCCCTCCCCACCCCATTCCATCCCTGCCGTCGCTGCCCCGCGCGGTGGGGCCCTCTACGGCCCGGCCGGGGCCCGGGGCTGAGGCACGGGGCGCGTGCGGCGCCATCCCCCAACTCCTCCCTGAGCTCAACCACCAGCACAAACCCTTGCGAGTCAAAACATTGGCCGTCCCCGCGGTCCCCGCAGCAGCTGCTGCAGTGCTGTGCCCGGGGCCCACGCCGCACCCACGCCCTGCCCTGCCGCCCTGCCCCGGGCCTTCCCTCCCCCACCCCCGAGGCCGCCCGAGGCACTCCACGCCTTCACACGTCGCATGTGGCGACTTCAACATCAGGCTGCTTCCGATTTTTGTGTTACTATCATTGTTTTTGAAAGAGAGGGGACCGCTTGTGTCCGAAATTCGATGTAAACATTCCACTTTTAATCCACCATCTGCGGTTCAGGAAGTGTTCGAAAGGGGTATGAGGACAAAGTTAAAGAGCAGACAATTTTAACAGGGGAGACATGATAATTTATTAGCCTACTTTTGGTAACTTAGCTTCTACATCATAGTTGTACACATAACAAGGGCGAAAGAGGAATGTTTTAAAAAATAACAGCATCCATTGTAAACATGAAATGCTCCTAAAAATATGTAGCATTTCAATTTGAAAGATCATGTTCTTCAAATTACCAATAGAAAAAGAATTAAAATACCATAACAGGACTTTTCCAATCTTTTGAAAAATCTGAGATTATGAATCCCACAGAGCTTTTCCTGGATAAATGTGAGATTCAAGAAGAGGATTCTGAAATTGACAATTTAGTTGACATGAACAAGGACACATGTATTCATCTATATCTGATTGAGACACAAAATAAAAACACCAATAATACTTGTGATTTGAATACTGATAAAAATATCAATCAGATCTTTCACAATAAACCACAATATAGATATAATGAAAAAATATGTTGAATACAGGTTGTGTGGCTTCCCCTATGACTAGATGATAAATATCAAATCCCACCACATGAAATATGAAGCGATAAAACACAACAACAACAAAGCATTTTAGTGGGATAGTCAAACTAAAAATGAGGAAAGATAAAAAAAAAAGTTTAAGCTGTGAAAGCTACCTGAGCAGGTCATTGAAGCAAACACATTTGTTTCCCATAATACAGCATATGGGGATTAAACTAGTCAATAACAGGAGACGATTTAAGTAATTCTGCCTGCAGACTTGAAGAGAATAACCAACTGTGCAGAAACAATTTTGTAAGTATGTATTGTGCACACTACACGAATCCTAACAGAAATAAGCAAATAGAAGTATCACCATACCATTCAAGGTATAAACTAGGATCAGACCTTTCAATATAGACAATTGGCTTAAGGATACAATATTGATAAAAAATAGCCTGGTATACCAGGGATATTAGGCACATTTCATTTCAGAATTACATTTAAACAAAAGTCACCCTCCACTAACTGGGGGCAGGAGAATCATCAAAGGTGTGGAAGGGTGATGATCAGACATTAAAAATTACATATATAAGTAACAGACTTAAAATGAGATTAAAAAGCCTTGTTCTCTGGTTCATAAGACCCAAATACAATGCGCTAAAAACGTATTTAAAGTAAGGGTGAATGCGCTGGTAGTGTTCTATCCACACAGTTCAACCACAAGTTTGCACATGGAGCATGATAAACGTGGCCACCATATTCCAACACTCCACGACTGGCAGGGCTTCCACAAACTCCACAGCCAGGCTGGCCACTTTCTTCGTCGCTTCCGTCATTCTCAACAGCCTAAAATAAGAAACAAATTCATTTTGAGGAAATCATTGGGGTTAATACATTCATTACACACAATAAGATATTTTTACCAACCACACTTACAGTTTCAATATTAGCAAGTTTGTAGAATGTTTGTAAGGTAGACCAGACTTTCACAACACTGCCTAAAATAGCATCTATCTGGTTTGATTCATGACCGGAGCGCTGATAGCTTCTTTGGATACGCCAAGTGACTCTATGAACTTCCAGGAGGTCTGCAAGCACGAGTCACAACAATAAATATTTTGCAGAGTCAATGAGACAATGATAGAGAGAACTTCTTTCTATGAATATTGGCAGAGTAAGACTTACTGCTTAAGTAATTTTTCCCTTCTGCTGTGTTCAAGACCTCTAGCAGGACAGAGTGTGCAGTAATGTTTGTAAAAGTACTGGCTGCACTTTGGAGTAGAAAGCACGACCTTTCAAGACATCTTATCCAGTCGGCTAACTGCTGTATGAAATAAATTTTTTGCATTAATTCAAAAACAGATCAGAAACAATATCAATTTTCAAAAATTTGAAGCTATATGCCTTACTTGAGAGTTTGAGGCTTTATCACTCATATCATCTGAAGTTGGGAAAAGATTCAAATCTAATGATGGAAGTGATCCATGGCGGCTCAAAGTCACACCAGGTAATTCAAGACTGCTGACAGATCTGTTGTCTGAGAGTGCACTGGGAACTTGCTTGCTGGAGCCACTGTCAACCCACAGCTGGTCACTGAGAAATACTGGAGATGTTTTGTTGTTTGTGTCATCAACTTGGGTTGAATCAGGACCAACAAAGTCACCGAAATCATCATCATTTTGAGCAGTTGTATCAATAAAGTTAGAACTAAGATTCAATTGAGGAGATTCTTTCACTGCAAATAGAGATTCACAGTATGTGACTAACTCAGAAAATTTTTCAGATCATATGCATGTATTTTTTAAATTACTTACCTGTATCAAAATCAAAACCCCATTTGGACGGAGGATCTACTGTAGACAGCAAATCATTATTATCTTTTTGAGAAATGTCCAAGTCTGAGAAGACTAAAGACAAATCACCATATTTACTCTTCATTTCATTTGATGGCTGTGACTCAAATGAGGATGGCTCTTGTGTAAGGCCAGCACTCTGAAAGACAGATGATGCCCAATCATCTACAGCAAATTCTATATTTTGCACAGCAGTTGTTTCAACATCATTGCAAGTTGGAAAGTTTGTCTGTTTGACAGAGTTTCCTGTGTCTCTGACAGCTATTTCTGAAAACATGTCATCAGCGGAGACAAAGTCACCAAAGTCATCTGTGTCAGGAATATTGTTGACTTCTGACAAGGGTTTAGTCACAGAGCTCGGAATGTTTTCAAGTATGCGCAAGGCACTGTATTTATCTTCTTCTACAGACATTAACTCTTTAGAGGCCTTTGCCATTGGTGGTGCAACTAAAGGTATGTCTACTTGTGTAGGAAGATTCTGGATTTCAGCTGCAGATGTTTTAGAAAATGTGGGAGAGTCTAGAGACAAAAGCTCTTCTTCTTTCTGTTTTCCAAATTCTTCGTCATCTGACTCATTTCTAATTGCACTCTCCTTTAACATGAAATCATGGGCTTTTGGCTTAGGATGGCATTTTGGAAAAAGTTCATCAACATTGACATTGAGACTAGCTGCAGTCTGGAAATCACTGAAGTCTTCATTTTCTTCACCTTCATAGTACTTTGCTTGCTCTCTAGCATCATGAGCGCTCTGGTTTTTCTCAAAACTGAATCCTACTTCATCCTGAACATAGACGTTATCACTGTTGATAGCGCGATGAGGCTTTAGGCCCATGTTGGATTTTGGTGCCCCTAATGTATGGTTTGCAAGTCTACTACCAATGGAACGGCCATGGCTACGTCCTAATTTGGAGACCACACTGTGATTTAGTTCATTCACAACCTGTAACATTTTAAAAAGAGAGAGCAAAATTGTCATTGTCAAATCCTGCATAGAAACATGCTTCAAGAATGAAAGAGGGGAGAAGATTAAACTGGATTATAATTGTTACCTGTTTTGCAGTGGCAGATGGTTGAATAACTGCTGTTGCTGGCAAAGTGTTGCAAACATTTGAAGAGGGAGCATGAGAAGTATCCGCACTTTGAAAATCAGTGAAGTCATCAGCAAAATCATCATCTAACTGTGTTTTACTCGGTATATAGGTAGGTAGTGTAGTAGTTGGCAAGGGGCCAGATACATTGGAAGGAGGTGGGGATACAGTAGGAGTGGCAATGAAAGGAGTGGAAGGCTTCAATGTTGACTCTGGACGCTTTTGTTTGTCATCTGGGCTTGACTTCTGAACATTCATGTTGAAAGTTGGGATTGGAGGAGTGGGAACAAAGTTAAGGACACTGAGATTGTTAAACGTACAGCCCATCTGAAACAGAGTAAAATAGTGCTCAATTTGTTACGATTGCCAACTTGAGATATGACCAAAAGAGGGATAACTTACCTGAGCAAGAGCAACAAGTGCCAGAGTTACATACAACTGTTGCTGATTCAACTGAACATTTGCACCATTTGTTGCCAGATTCCAAATGAAACCTAAAACTTCTTTTGGCAAGCTGCTTGTCAAGAGCAATGCAAGTATTTTATTTGTATCGACTAAACTCCCTGAAAATCACAAAAATTATCAATAAGAATTACCATATTGAAAAACTTATTCTTGCCATGTGAAAAAGGGTATACCTCCAGAGGCAGGATCACAGACAAGACTCCAAATGTGGGAATATATTGGAGGAAGGCGAGAAGAATTGGGGCTTAGCCACCCAGGGAAATTGTCGTTAGGATTGGCCGAAACAGCACTTCTATTCATATTTGGTCCTGGTTGAACAGGTTGCCTTATCTATAAAAAGCAAAATTTAAAAAAATACAGTGTTAGATTTATTATGATACACTTCATGAATACAGCATGTTGATGAAAAGTGAACATAATACCTGGCCTGGTGTCTCCTGACCCTGCTGTTTGAAAGGCATCGGTGCAGGTTGTTTGGGAGTGAAAGTATCCTTCTTCTCTAATAGATTTCCAATCAGAGCATCGGCACTCATTCCCTACAATAAAATGAAAAAGCCTCAGAAAAGATACATTGGCAAACAAGTCATCTTCAAACTGAGCAATGTACCTTGCTTGAAGAGAGTGGCATAGCTTTCAAACGTTGTTGTTGCTTCAGATAGTCACGATGTTTGTGATCTGTTTGATTTTGGGATTGTTGCTGATTTTGTGTATCTTGTGGCTTATATGTTTGCTGTTGATTTAATGGCCATATTTTGTTCTAAGAGAACAGGACAGCGATGTTAAACTAAATTATAAAAACTTGTCACTGGGCATTGGCTTGACAATGAAACCATTAGACTGTACCTGATTGGGTTGGACGTTCACAGGCACATTTACAGGGAAGTTGTGAGGCATGACAAACCCCGTTGAGGGTCCACTTGTGGCCATCACAGCGCTCTGTGGCATACCAGGAATGCCGACAGCTTGAATTGAGTTGGTTGGCAATGAAGGCATCATGTGGGTGGGCCGGCCCATTCCCGAGCCTTGTTGTGGAAACCTGAAGTTCAATGCAAAATCATTCATAATTTCTTATATGTTAGATGAGTACGGAAAGTATAGGGTGAGAGTAACTTAAAATATATATACTCACATCTTGTTTCACTGAAAGGTGTCAACTATTCTTGATCATAGAACATGGTGCAACATCCTCGGTGGAAGGGCTGCAAGCAAGTGGCCCAAGAAGGACTGACATTTAAAAAAGTGACATGACATAACCCACTTCACTGGGAAGCCATACGAATGACTACACCCATCCCTGGCTTGGCCTCCATTTTAAGCACACTGTTTCAAAAGAATCAAACAGATGAAATAATAGACAGGTCAAAGAAAGTAGAACAAACAGTTTATGAGAAAACAAAAATCAGTAAATACGTAGAGCTTTGATGTAGGTTTGACAAATACATTGACTGTGTTGATTCACATAGATCTATGGTAATTGACAATAAAGTGAACCACAGAAAAACCAAACGTAAAACTTTCTATCACGTATTACAGGGGAGAGAATAAGCAAAGACAAATTAAAAGACAACCTGCTGTCAAAACACATAACCTTTGCGAAAGGACAAGTGTCAAGCAGTAATTGCTCCAAACATAGAAACAGAATTTTAAAACTAACTCACCAATTTGTTCTTAAAATAGACAAGCATTCATAATTTTCGGAATAAACAAGCTGTATGCAAACATTATGTTTCTAAGCTGTTAAGCAAAGAAAATAATTTCTTGGTTTTGTCTCTCTACGTTGGGTTTCTCAATGTCAATGTCAATAGAGACTCAGGGAATGTCAGGGAGTCAGGGAAGTTTGGTTTGAGTGCCGTTAACATTGCTATTGGAGTGGATTTCACGGGCTCTTCAAGATGCCACTGCTTAAGACGCAGTTGAAATTTAATTTGGGGTACCTCGAGAAGTGTCTTTCGTCGGTTTCGGACTGAAACTTGCCCAAACTGACTGGGAAAATCACGGACAAATCGTAAAACCCGCCAGAAGCCCGGCATGCTTTTTCCGGTTTTATCTCTTCGAAGCTGCTCGAAGGGCGGAGGCGGAGGCGGAAAGCGGCGCGGGTGGCGATGCCCCCACCCCAGGAGGGCTCCGCAAACCCTGCCATTTGCCAGACTCATATTTGTTAACATCAAAATTTTATTTTTATTTGTTGTTTATATACGGCAATATGACCATTATTTATTTTTGTAAGCTATCTATGAATTACGTTGGTCTAGATACGAAAGTTTAACGTGTTTTGGTTGTTGTTGGAAACGTTTACTAGTCCGTAATGCCGAAATATTAAAGGTTATCTACCAATGGTGAGGTTATGTTTATATTACTTAAATCGTTTTTGTTGCCATTTTCAGATGATAGTTTTCTCCCACATCTCATGGAATCGTTAACTTTGACACTCTGTCAAGACACATGCCTTATTTGTTGTTGTTGTCGTTGCTTATCCGAGTATTGCTTCCTAGTTTTCTCTAATCTTGATTGATAGTAATGAAATGAATTAGCTTATCACCCAAATTTTATTTTCACGCCTTATTCTCTTTCGTCCTAAGGGTTGTATGTCACATGATTTATTTGTGTTTTCTGTATCCCATTTTCATACTAGTGTGAATTTCGAGTGGTTGCTCATTTCTTTTCCATTTTGCCTTTACTTCCAGGTTGATCATGGGCTCAGAAAGAGCAGAGGAACCCATTCACATAGTGTACTCAGATGAAGAAAATGTCCTGGATGAAGAGGAAAGAAATTCTCGGTTGTTTGAAGACCTAGAACCAGCTAGTTGGATCAACGATGAAGATACTGATGTCACAACGTTCTTTCATAGGGTTGACTCAGACCAAATTATATATGAAGCCAAGAAAAAAAGATGCAAAATGATAGGAAAATATGTCATGGGTGATTTGTTAGGTGAGGGGAGTTATGGGAAAGTGAAAGAAGTTTTAGATTCTGAGACACTATGCCGAAAAGCAGTTAAGATCCTCAAGAAACGCAAACTACGCAGGATTCCTAATGGAGAACAAAATGTCCAAAGGTAACAGTGTTTTCAATCGTAATTCTTAAAATTAGTTCAATCGAAAAATATATCGGACTGTTGGATTACATCAATTATATGTAGTATCAACTTTTGTTTTCCTTTACAGGGAAATTGTACTTTTGAAAAAGCTTCAACATCCTAATGTTATTGGTCTCTTGGATGTTCTAGTAAATGATGAAAAAGAAAAGATGTATTTAGTCATGGAATTCTGTGTTGGTGGGCTTCAAGATATGCTTGAAAGCACTCCTAAGAAACGGTTTCCTCTTTGGCAGGCTCATGGGTGTGTATATATGTACATTAATTACATAGTATTAATGAATGTATTTCACCATGTATTACTCTTATGTCATGAGGAAATTTTCCATCAGGTACTTCTGTCAACTTATGGATGGTCTGCAATATCTTCATAGTCAAAGAATTATTCATAAAGATATCAAACCAGGAAATCTGTTACTAACTCTTAGTGGCATATTGAAAATTTCTGATTTAGGAGTTGCTGAGGTATGAGTTACAGTCAGGCACACATTTTTGCATGTGATATGTTGTTGTTGTTCTCATTATTAATTTGATTACCAGTATCACACCTATGAGAACTCATTACAGATCTTACGTTCCCTTTTTTCTTCCTTCCAGGCTTTGGATTTTTTTGCAGAGGATGATACATGCTACACCGGTCAGGGATCACCTGCATTTCAACCTCCTGAAATTGCAAATGGCCATGAAAAATTTCTAGGGTTTAAAGTTGATATTTGGAGCAGTGGGGTCACATTGTAAGTGCCTCTTCCATCATGCAGTTTTTGTACTGGTTGAGTTTAACTCATTTTCATTTCTTTTTGTTTTTAGGTATAATATCACCACAGGCCTTTACCCCTTTGAGGGTGACAACATCTTTCGGCTCTTTGAAAATATAGGGAAAGGTGAATATGTAATACCAGATGAAATTGAAAATCCTTTACGTGATCTTCTCCATGGAATGCTACAAAAAGATGCAAATGACAGGTTTACCCTGCAGCAGATAAGACAACATCCGTAAGTTTTCTGTTTTATATAATATTTCTCCTATTGTAGAAACACTCTTAAACAACAATACGTATTTTCTTAAGGAAAAAAAAATAGAAGTCTGCTTTATATTTGACTGCAAACCTGTTGTTATCCTATGCTCGATAGGTGGTTCTTAAGGAAACCTCCTCAGACATTAGAAGAAGTGCCCATTCCTCCACTTCGAGGGGATGAGCTGCACAACATGACTGTGCTTCCATACCTAATGGACTATCACTATGTAGAAGATCCTGCATCTGGGCAACCACAGTACTATACAGAACATGAAAGAAATGGTGAGTAGAACTCGTTTTTACTGTATTAAAATGAAACTGTATGAGATAATGCATTTTTTGTTTGCCTTACTCCGAAATTTTAGCTTGGGCAGAGAGAGGAGAACAGGATACTTATCCAACAGAATGCTATCCAAGAGAATGGGCAGATCAACTAGGTGACCTCAAAAGTAAAGAAAGCTCTCCTAAAAAGTTCCAAGGTGGGTGAATATTATTCTTGTGTCCCAATCCCAATTCTAATAGTTCTGACTAATAAGTGAAGTTTCAATAATTTTATTTTTTACATTTGTAGATGATGTGGGTTATGGCAACTCTAATAAGTACCATGGTGATGATGAGATGGAAACTATTGCGGACTCAACTAAGCGCAAAACTAAACGGCGACCAACAAGCTGTATCAGTGTCAAGAAATTTCCTCCATGTAAACAATCGTGATTTCTGTGCCCCAGCCTGGTGCTCACTCTTCCTGCCCTTGTGCTGGGGATGGATTGTTGTTATTGTTGTTCTATGTTAGCATGGAGAGACAACACCTGAGTCCTATCTGTTCCTGCTACTTTCCCATTTTAACTGATAAATCAGTAGTTCAATGCCAATTTGAAATGAGGTCGCTTGTCTGTCGCCTCATGGTCACCATCATGGTTGACTTCATCCCCTTGACCCCCTTTTGGTTATTAGTTTCCAAATTTGTCAAATTTAATGTGCATTTCAGGAAACAAAGTGCATATGTAGCTACAGTAGCCTTTCCTGGAGTAGTGACCATGTATTGTACGTATGCATCCCTTGCAGAACAAACCTTTGTCAATGCATTTCCTTCAATTTTACTACTCAGTTTTGTGCCATTGTAATTTCTGCAACTGGTATCATCTTCTCTTTCTTTTGCCATTTGTTTTATCTCATGTTACTTCTATTAAGTTACTGTACTTTAAATGATCATTGCCAACTGGACCATTGATTTTTGGTTTCTGTGATCCAATTAAATTTATGTGTTTATGTGAAAATGTGAATTGAATTCTATTGACTCCCTTGTAACTAATTTTCAAATTTTTTGGTTGAAAGTAATTGGATTTTGAGAAATGTACATTAATTATGTAAGGGGATTTAGGGAGAAGGGTTTGGTGGCGAAATGTTATGTGGCATGTGTTATTAATATGAAAGGGCATGTTAGATCCATTTCTTTATGGGAGGGTGAAGGGTAAAGTATCCCTCAAAAGACCACTACATAATTGTTTGTTGCTCGCTTGTTTTCTTTCCCTTGTTTTGTATCAACATTTTAATTGATTTGCTCTATTCCAAAGCTGTAGTTGATTTTGAGTAGCATTGCATTATACTTTGTACCTGTACATTAGCTGTAATATTCTTTCAGAGAAACTTGAACCCAACATTTTTCCGCATTCAGCTCTGTTATGAAATCTCAAAAATTGCTTGATTGTAAAATGTTGTGTCCAGATTTTACTGTTTGTTTGATCAGCTTGTCTAGATCCTGTGAGGTAGTCCTTTCATATTTAAGAGCAAGTGTGACTCTTGTGGATCTGAACCTTATCTGTAATATCTTAGCAATGTGAGTTGCCTGCATTACTTTTGGTTTTAGGTTTGAGTCATGAAGAAATTAGAAAGATTATGTGACCACTCGGTTTCTCTAGTCATATATGAGAGTTTCTGGCTTCTTGTCCTATTATTCTGGGCAATCTTTTGAAATTTTTTTGTCATTTATTGCTATTAGTAGCACTGACAGATGTCAGTAATAATAATAATAATCGTGAAAATTACTGTTGAAAGATAAAATCTTGTTCTTTCCTGACTGTGCTCAGCACTTTTCTGGACACAATGACCTCAGACTCAATTTTTTCTCAGAATGTTGGTAGTTTCTATTACTTTGTTTTTTAGGAGTCAACTGAAACATGGACCCTTCAAGAAAGACTCTATTGCATAGGATTTGTCTTTTAACGCTGCATTATGTGAGATTATTTCTTAATCTCTGCACCTGACATGTGCCATATCACAATATCCAACTTGGCTCGAAAATGAGTTTTGAGAAGCAATTTTATACGTCAGTTTTGCAAAGTATTGATTTTGTTTTATTATGATAAGTCTAATCTTAACATGCTTTGGTTTGGTGTCCCAACTTCTTTTTAACCAGTTTATGCAACTAACAGTCAAGAATGCTGATGAAGTGAGCATACATTTTCTATTCTTAAATTTGTTTGTCACAGTTCAGTTGCCAGAGAACAATGTTGTCTGAGAACAATTTGCTCTCCTTCTTGTAAATACATTGTCCATATCAGAAAACATTTATCAGAGTTTTTGATGTTGCCTGAAGTGCAAATGAACCCCACATGCAGCAAAGCAGTGTTTCTAACAGGATGTAGACTTTTATGAAACGACAATAGTGAGCTTGTTACCAGATGTAATGTATAGCCCTGGTGTTAAATTTACTGTACAAACTAAGCGCAACATTAGTGATGTCGCACATTGTTATGGACACCATTTATATTTATGTAGTTGATTAATTTTACCATTTATGATGATACAACCTTAGTAGGGAAAGAAATGCTCATTAAATTAGTTTATAACCAACCATCATTGAAGTGTACTTAGCTCCCTTAGTGGAAATTTTTAATGTTAAATTAAAACGAAACTCCATTAGGTGTGTTAAATACCACATAAATGTTAAATATCCTGTTTTTTTTCTTTGAAGAGAATGGAGTATCTCAACCACTTCTCCTATTTTCTCATGACATTCATGAATGTTTGTTGTTCTCTTCTGTGGTAGACTCTGTTTACCCATATTCAAGTGCATTAGATTTGTAATCTGTGGGTGGTGTCAAATGTTTCCAAGTTATTTTATCTATTTTTGCTGGAATGTTGATTTTACTGCCTGTCAACATTGTGTATGTTGAGTGGCAGACGTTGTTATGCTCTATATGAAATTTGAATGACAATTTTACATCTCAAGGACATTTGTGTGAGGAATATTTTTGGTTATTTCTTAAGTGGGTGATGTTTTGCCTATGCAAAGCAGTACAAACATTCTGCAATGTTTCTTCTTGTTATTGGCTATACTTTGAAAATTTATTTTTAAAATTTGAAGATTTGCAATGCTTTTTGTGTGTTGAAACTCCCACTTGGAATTGTAGCTCTCAATTTCTCTCTCTTAAGTATTTGTGTTTAACCACTTTTGTGATACTTCAGTTGACTGTTATTTCTGTCATAGAGCTTGTGCCAGAGTAATTTTTGTTTTGTAATACTTATGACTTTATGGCTGTGAAGAAATTTCTGGCAGGCTCTAAAGTAATAATAGATTATTACTTTTGCATAATATACTTTCTGTTTGCTGTTTCTTTTCAAGAGCAGTTTTTGGAAAGTATGGGAATAGTTAATTCCTGGATCATGAATAAGTTCAACTTTTTTTTTCATATTGTTTTGTGTTGCATGTGCAAACTATTGGGGAAGACCTTCCTCTTCCGTCCATATTCCATTTATCTTCAAACTGTTTGTTCAAGCGGCCATTCAAACCGCTACCACTGAATTTTCCTTTTGGGCCTCAGCCCTTGTTTGCCGAAGGTTCTCTTCACATTAATGTTAAAAAGGGAATAAAAGAAAAGAGGAGAAACCCTCACATCCTCAGTCATATTGTGAGAGTAGATCAACTCGTACACTATAAGAAATTGTGACTACTATTTTTGCTCTAATAAAATATTAGTCTTCTTATTCTTGAGTTGTGTTTCCCTGTTACCATTGTGACCTAGAATTACCACCACACTCTCGGCGGGAGGCTTCAGGGCGGGACGGCGGGGCTGGAGTGCGGGGGAGGTGGAGGGGGAGGGGTAGTGGCGCCGCTGGCAGCGCTGGCACTACGGCGAACCCCGAACCTCGGCACCGCACCGGCGGGACGGGGACCGGGACGGGGACCGGGAACACCACGGGCACAGCGCGGCAGGCGGCAGGTCGCGGCCGCCAGTCACCCGGAAGCCCTAGCCCCGCCAGGGGTGCTGGAGTCTGCCGGAGTCTGGTGGAGCGTCCTACTCCAAGGTGGAGCGTGCCGCGGCGCCCGTTTCCGGACCCGTCCGTGTTTCCGGTCGCGCTTCCGGCGTCGCCAGCGTCGCCAGCGCGGAGTGACTGGCAGTGTCGCGACACCGCAGGTTGATAAGGGAAAGGAAAGGTGCAGCCAACGGTCGCAGCAACAGGTGACGGAGTTACAGTGTGGGGACTCGGAGGCCATGGCGCCGTCCGCGCCGTCCTCGACGCGCTCCTCCACACCGTGAACGACGCCGCCGACGCCGTCGTCACTCGGACTGCACCACTACACTGACGAGGCGGAGCGACGCGGAGCAACTATGCAGTCACAAAGGGTGAGCGCGCCGGCCTTTCCTGGCTTGCGCAGCAGGCTGGTGCCGAGAGTCGTTTCCGTCGCTCTGCCTCTCTCGCACCCACACGGGACGCCCCAAGAGTGCGAGAGAGACAGAGCGACGAAACGGCTCTCGGAATCAGGCTGCAGCTTGCGCCAATTCAGCTAGCTTGTGCCGCGCGCGGCTGCCACAATACGTAGTTGCCTACGTCAGCCTGCCTAGTAGGCAACAAAGCCCAGACGTTACCTCGCACGCTGGCTGAGATTGGAATTTGACCCACTAACGCGAACAGGCTGCCGGTGCATGCTGTAGGGGCTGTAGGGGCTGTAGGGCTGAGACGCCGCGGCGGTAGGCAAGGCGCGCCCGTCGAGCGCAGGCGTGCGTTGCGGCTTGCCTACCCTGCCGTTGGCAGGCGCTCCGCACGCCGCACGCACAGTGGGCCAGAAGACCGACGCAGGTCGACAAAACTATACGCGCGTTTTGAGCTGCAGAGTCGCTAAGCAGGACTCGAACCGAACGTGTGACCCCACCAATGGATTGCTCTCCGAACGAGGAATCCAAAGGTGGGGCCACACGTTCGGTTCGAATCCTGCTTGGTGACTCTGGAGCTCAAAACGCGTCTAGAGTTTTGTCCGCCTGCGCCGGTCTTCTGGCCCACTGTGCGCCGCTCCACCGCTCCACCGCGCCGCGCTCGCTACGCCAAGCGCGCCAAGCAGCCGGCTTGCGGTACAGCTTCCTCGTTCGATTCTCGATACAGAAAACCCCGCCTCCTTCATCAGACTCAGTGCGGAGCACGGCCTCATCGGAAACGACGCGAGTCCGGGACAAGGCGAAGCGCGAAGCCGCCACTTTCGCGGCTCTCAAAAGCGATCGGCGTTTCGTCCAAAACAAAGGCGTTGTCTGCCATGAGAACATCGAGAACATTCTTGTGGCAGCGGAGCTGCCCAGGTCTTAGTCCGAGAATTCCAGAAATACGCATGCATCTACACCAATGTTCATGGTTCAACAGCGCACTCATTTTTAGGCGTTCAAGAATCGTTATCGTCGCTCTATCCCTCTGGCACCTGAACGGGACGCCCCGAGTGCAATGGAGACAGGGCGACGGAAACGACTCTCGGAATGAGTCTGCTGACCGTTGGCCGTGGCCATTGTCCGTCCATTGGCTGCGGTTTGACGCGGCGAAGCTCCCAGGCCAGGCCAGGCCAGCCCAGCCGGCCGTGCGGTGCGGTGCGGTGCGGTGCGGCGCCCGACTGGCCTGGCTCGCCATGGCACGGCTTCTAATTTTAGATGCACTGGGTGGTCGTGGGATTACTCCCCTTTCAGGCAAGGGGGACGCGGTGGGGAGGGGCGGGGCGGAGCGGTGGGCCTTCACGCGGAATCAACACAGTTTTACCCTAGGCGATTGCCAGAAATGTCCGCGCGAGTTTGCCAGAGATTGCTGGAGCGGCCCACAGTGGGCCAGAAGACCGGTGGAGGCGGCCAGATTTCTGGATGCGTTTTGAGCTCCGGAGTCGCTAAATGGGACTCGAACCGAACGTGTGACCCCACCAATGGACTGCTCTCCGAGCGAGGAATCCATTGGTGGGGTCACGCGTTCGGTTCGAGTCGTGCTCAGCGACTCTGAAGCTGAAAACGCGTCTCGGATTTTGGTCGCCTCCACCGGTCTTCGGGCAGATCCACTGTGTGACGGACGGGCCCTCGTCACACCGGAGTGCACACGGACTCGTTCCTCGTCACACGTCGAAACCAATTAGAGCGGCAGTCCCCCTGGCGGCTCCGGCCGCCCCGCCACTCGAAGGGTAGGAGAGCAGACGAGGATAAGGCGCGGGTAAGACAGAGATGGAGGGGGAGGGGGAATGAGCTGCCGCCAGATGGACCCTCGCAGCCAATTCCTACCACGTTCCGCGGCGGCAGGAATGTAGACCGGAAGGGACAAAAACAGAGAGGAGAGAGAGAGAGAGAGGGAGAGACAATGGGACGCTGCAGCCAAAGGCCGCCACCACCGCCAGGGCGGTACACAAAGGAGGCACCGAGAGCTGAGGTGCTGAGGCTAGGCAGGCGGCAAGCCAAGGCTAGGCTAGGGAGGGCTAGGGAGGGCTAGGGAGGGCTAGGGAGGGCTAGGGAGGGCTAGGTGAGGCGCGTGGCGACTGCCTCCGCGGCCTGCGCTCAAAGCGCCGCCATGCGTGCAGACTCGGCACGCCCCGATGGGTAATGGGTCCAGTCCCAGCCCCCGCCCCGGCTCCGCAGTCCCGAAGGCCCGAAGGCCCGAAGCCGAAGCCCCCAGAGTCTCGAGGGCTCCTAGGTCCCCTGGGAATGAGCGCGCGAAGCGCCTTCCCTTCGATTAGGACAAGACGGCGGTGCGGCGGTCCCAGCCGGTCCCAGCGTCTTGGCGGCGCGCGGCGCGCGGTGGCGTCCCCTTCCCGGGCTGGGTCCGGGCGCGGTGGCATCGGATTCAAATTCCAGAACGGCATGTCGGCATGCCCGAAATCCCCGTCGTACCGCCAACCGCCGCGAACCCTCTTCGGGTACCGGTGGAATGCTTTGACGACGATCCGGGCGAAATGCGGAGCGTCTGAACGTCCAACTCTCCGTGAGGAGAAGTGGGACGAACCTCCTTGAATTCGGACCGAAGGGACGCAGTGGTCACCGACCACGCAGTCAGCACGCTTGGACGTTTAGACGCGTCGATGTTTCGGCCGACTTCTCGGGAACACCGCTCCCGATCTGAGGTGGTGAATCACAGAGGCTCACCCAGTGCAGGCGCGGGCCCCACCAAAGGCAGAGAGAAAGGGCGAGGAGTGGCGGGTCTAGGGCGGGCGGAAACTACTGCTTCCTCTGCTTCGCTTCAGCGCGGCTTTCTGAACACTTCGCCGCTTCGCTTGGCTTCAACCAGTGCTCGGCCGGAAACAGAAACAGCGACAGCCTGGGGACAGCCCTCGCCGCGAGGGGCCTTACAGTGTCGCTACCCCGCAGCGCCGCAGCCAGCCGCCGCCAGCGCTGTGCGTTACGCCCAGTGCGTGGGACGCCCACCAGATGGCGCCACTGGAGGACACTCTGGCGGCAGCAGCACTCCAGCAGGGGGTACTCCAGCTCCAGCCTCAGCCCGTGGACCTCGCCGCCTCCCTCGCCTTCCTCTCGCCTCCCCGCGCGGCCGGCTCCCCGCGCTCCCTCTCAGGTGCGGAACTGGAAAGGCCGAACCAAACTACAGGACATGACCAACAAACACTACACTGTGAGAAAAAAGTATGGAAAAAGGACGGAACATGTCTGGTCAATAATTTGCCTGGACCGTCCGTACTTGCCATGCCAACTACGGAACGTTCCGTACTTTTTTCCGTACCCATTTACGTGGGTTCATATGGAGCAAGTACGGAACGTTCCGTACTTTTCTCCGTAGCTCCGTACTATATTTTTCTGTACCATTTCCGTACAAAAGTACGGAATTTTT